AGCGCCGTCTATCTTCCCGAGTTTACTGAATACTTCTCCGTGTTGCTCCTCCTCCACTCTGGGTCTTGTTGGGATGTCGTCGGCGTGCCCCACTTTTGCTGAAATACTGTCATGATATCTCACCTCACGTCATGAAGGAAGGAACGAGGAAGCAGGAAGCACAAAAACAGCAAAAAGAAGGCCGCCCGGGATGAGGATCGAACCCAGCGCCAATAACTGGCAGCGGTGAAGGTAGTCATGCGCCTCAACCCAGTTGGCCAGATAGACGAGCCAAATGTCCAAGATATTTACTGAGGCGAACGAAAGGATTGAATATATACCCTTCTGCGTCAGTCACCGAGTCGGTTCCTTCCTCAGGCATGTCATATATTCATAGGATGAAAAAAATACCAACTTTTGGATTTTGGACCTGGGTATCCCCTCTTTCTACATAAGCCATGACCATAGGGAAGAACTTGCAAACCTCATCATGATACTACCCGTCTAGACTTCGACAATCTCATCGTCATCGTCGTCATCATCGACCTCGTCGACCTTTGAGCCATTGGTAAGCTCCTTAGGCTTGGACTCCGCCTCGCCCTCGCCCTCCTCTGGCTCCTCGTCTCTCATCAGTACTTGCACCAGACGGTCGCATGCATCCTTGACGCCCTCGTCGTTGACGCGGGAGTGGTTTTCGCGGATGATGGGGTACACGCTGACTCTTCTCAGCAGATCGCGGCCTCCTCTCGTCGTCGTGAAGAGCAGAAGCGTCTCGATGTGCGTTTGGATGATCTTGGGATCCGAGTCACGCTTCTTGTCGGGGGGCAAGAGCTGCAGATCAGGCAGCATGCCCATGGTGTCGTCCTCGTCGTACTCCTCGTTGCCAGTGATGGGGAGGAGGATGTAAGGGAGGATGTCGACCTCGTCCTCGTCCATGAACGTGGAGTGGAACTGGATCTCAAATGCGACGTTCTTGATCGTGCTCGCGACACCCTTCCTCCGGATCTCGGACTGGTGCTCGGTGAAGACCTTGAGCTTGGTGATGGGGATGACCTCGTCGTAGTCTTGCCGGGTGACAAAGTGCTGGCGTACTTCAGCGTGCTTGGTGAGATCTGCAAAAAGGTAGGCGAGGTAGTCGTAGTCGGCATCCTTGTTGTAGGCTCCCTTTTCCTTTACGAAGAGGTCGACTAGCTGGTTTAGAACTAAGTCGTTGGACTTGAGCTCCGCTGGCGGTGTTTGCTTCTTGGTAACAATAGTATTGAGTCCATCCCACTTTGCCAAGTTGGCAAGCAGCATTGCCATCAGGTTGGCGTTTGCCTCGTCGGGTTTCTATTGGAACGGGGTTAGCATATCGCATAGTCCCATTACTGCATGGTTCTATGCCAAGTTAAGAAAGTTGACATACTACTACCAGGTCCAAGAGAATATCGATGAACTTCTGGTCTGTTGCCACGTTCTCAAGAACGTCTTTCTCGGCAGTGAGGTTGACGAGAATTGTCAACGCATGTTCTGCGATTTTCTATCTATTGTCAGTCTCGGGATCAGGCAAGTGATGAAAGGCTTGTGCTTACAGGGTGATCTCTGACTAGGAACTTGAGGTGCTTTACGGGAGTCAAGTTCTCTGTCTTGAAGATTGCCGGGTCTGCCTGTGAGTAGCCTACGAGGTTCTCGATGGCTACCTTTCTGAGATTCGCATTGGGATGAGCGATGAAGCCCACGAGCTATCACATCATGAGACGAGTCCAACAAAGTGCAAGTTAGGCATTTCTGATCGAGTAAGCATACCTCTTCCAATTCTGTAGGCATTTTTTGGTTCTTTTTTAGTGTATATCGTGAACGAAAAGACAGAACTGCGTGAAATATGCTAATTTCCTGGGGCCTTTTGAGGAGAGGTCTCAATTTCACTATAAGACAGACTCGCAGAGTCACTTGCAGAAGCTTTTTGGTGGGGGTTTGGTGGCGGGGCATTGACTCTGCTCGCCGATGAAGTCAACATCAGGGGTCCTCATTGGACAAAGGACCAGACAAGCCCCGTAACAAACCGGTCCAGGGTTCTGGGCACTAATCAGGCGCGGGGCAATCGATAAGGAAAATCAAAAATTTCTGGCTCACAGGAAAAAAAAAAAAGAGGCACCGCTTATCCCGCCTGTCAGTCGTACTCCGCCACGACTATTTCTCACCGAGTGATTCTCAACAATGGGCAAGGCTACCACCCCGACCGACCGCCAGTCGCGGAGACACAACCCTCTGCAGGATGATATCCTTGCTACGGGTCCCTTGAAGAACAAGGCGCCCAAGAGAAAGAAGGGCAAGAACTCGGACGAAGAAGACAATGGCGAAGGCTTCGTCGATGCGACACGGAGTCGCACCATTCTCAAGCTAGGCCGAGAGCTTGCCGAGGAGGACGGTTCTGCGAAGCCTCAAGCCGCCGCGAAACCCACTGTCGACCTTTTCGGAATCGAGTCGAGATACGGCACCGATGTTGGCGACGAACAGGCGTACGACGATGAGGAGGCCTGGGGTGAAGAGGACGAAGTTGTTGAGGAGATCGAGATCGACCCCGAAGACCTCGAGACATACCGCAAATTCTTGCCCGAGGCCGAAGATGACCCTGCGGCAATGCTGAACCAACACGGCTGGGGTAGCAAGGGTCCCGACGACGAGATGGCTGGCGGTGGCACCAACTTGACGGAACTCATCCTGGAGAAGATTGCGGCGCACGAGGCTGCCGAGGCCCGGAAAGCAGCGGGCGTCCCCGTTCGTGATGAGGAATACGAGCTTCCCCCGAAGGTCGTTGAAGTATACACAAAGTATGTACCCAAGAATGGCGATCACCGGAAGTTTGTTGCTAACCTTTTGATAGGGTTGGATTTATTCTGTCGCGATACAAGAGCGGCCCCCTGCCAAAACCCTTCAAAATTTTGCCGACTCTGCCTCATTGGGAGGATATTATTGAGGTTACGGAACCCCAAAAGTGGACGCCGAATGCTGTTTACCAAGCGACGAGGATCTTTTCTGCTTCGAAGCCCATCGTCTGCCAGAAGTTCATGGAGCTTGTTGTCCTCGACAAGGTCCGCGAGGATATCTACGAGAATAAGAAGCTGAATGTGCACTTGTTCGACGCGCTGAAGAAGAGTCTGTACAAGCCCCGAGCGTTCTTCCTCGGCTTCTTGTTCCCCCTTCTTTCCAGCGGCTGCACAATCCGTGAGGCGCAAATTGTTTCCGCTGTGCTCGTCAGAGTGTCAGTGCCAGTACTTCATTCCGCTGCGGCTTTGAAGGGTATCACCGAGATGTAGGCTTCCCTGTTCTTCAAGTTCTGGCTGTGAGTATGTGCTAATGCGGCTGTAGTGCTGCTCAGGAAGCTTCGGCGGGCACCGAGGGCGGTGGTGCGGCCAACATCTTCATTAAGGCCCTGCTGGAGAAGAAGTACGCCCTTCCGTACCAGGTCATCGACTCGCTCGTCTTCCATTTCCTGCGATTCAGAAGTGTGGACCCTGCATCCATCAAGGAGGGTCAGTCTTTCTCTGGAGACATGGTCAAGTCGCTGCCCGTTGTCTTCCACCAAAATCTTCTGGCATTCGCCCAGAGATACAGAAACGACTTGAGCGAGGACCAGCGAGAGGCGCTGTTGGACTTGCTGTTGACCCACGGCCACCACTCTATTGCGCCTGAAATTAGGCGAGAGTTGCTGGCTGGCAGAGGAAAGGGAGTGGCTGTTGAGCAGCAGAGTGCCGCATTCGACGGTGATGATACGATGCTCGTGGATTGAACGACACATGAAAACAACTGGGATATGGGAAATGGAGCTTGGCCAACCCTTGGGCATTAGAAGGCGTTAGCAGGTCTGATTTGATACCCGCAATCCTAATCGAATGGATTCTGAGAAGCTCGTGATATTTTGACGCGTGATTCACGTTTCTGTGGACTTCCTACTTGGCAGGGGCCCCTTTACTCGCCTCAAAGTACCTTACCTGAGGTAGGTGTCCCATCCTGCCGAAACGGAGGTTAGCCCACCACGTGCCGTCTTCAGCATCGAACTTCTCTAGTCCCTGCCGTAAGTATTCCGAACAAATTCTTTTCGAAATCTTTCCTCTTGATCACCTTCGATTATCTTTATGGTTCTCCCTGCAGCCTGCCTAGCCCTCCTCATTTGGCTGGCCATTGATTCCACGAATCCCTAGCAAGCCGTCCTTAGCCTAATGGCCTCTATTCATACAGTCGACGGCAATGATGCAGTGACAGAACGCCAGAGCTCTAGGAATGGTCTGCCGATGAGTATCGTGGCATTCAATGACCCTTTTCAGGACCCCGTCCGGACTCGCAGACGGACGTAAGTTTGCCATGTGCTGGTAATGACAGCTCTTGATGCTGACCCCATTCACAGATCGTCTTCGCAGTCCTATCCCATATCCAATCGCGACGTTCACAGACTGTCCTTCAAAACGGCGCTCAGAGTCACTTGCCCTGAGGTTTTGCAGTTTGCACCTGGAGATAGCTGGGATGGATCCAGTACGCCCAAGAGGGGACAGTGTGACGGATACTTTGGCTCACTGCCAGCAACACCTACTACGCCACAGTCACTGCCCCGTCCCAGCACCAGGTCAACTCCCACTCAGCCGTCTCCAAGGGATTGGCCAATGACTCCAAGGCCTGGAAGCTATCATGACCCTCCAAGGCCCCCCAAAGAAGGATGCGAGTAGGTCTGGTTTCCTGAAGGATTTTGGGCTGAGCGAGAGATCATCTCTGGAAAAGCGCGCCAAGGCAGCGCAAATAAGCGTTGGAAATGGGCCAACAGATCCCCAAAGATTCGAAATGTCAGTATCAGTGAGCAAGAGATGCTGCCTCCGGATCTTCCCCCGTCTCCAAGGTCCGTACTCAGCTCCAATGGGCCGCTTAGCCCATCGTCGGAAGCGTTCCAGACTAGAGTGTTGCAGAATACGTTGCTTCACACAGTACGACCTAGTTTCGACCGGATGCCGAGTATTCAGCATACCCTCAATTCACCGGAGGAAAAATTAGCAATGACACTCCAAGAACCTCCGCCAGAGCTAGCACAGCCGTTGGAATCAACTCATGGCGCAAGCTCTGGAGCTCCATCAATAAGCCAAAGCGTCCAGAGCCGGAAAAGCATCAAACTGTTTTCTTTGTTCAAGAACATGACTGTCAGTACATTGATGCTAGACCGAGCGGGGTGTATTCTAATGTCGAGCAGAAGCAATCGTCCGAGTCGATATCCGAATCTCTAGCCTCTGAGCAACTCGCCGACGTGCCGAAGAATATCTCAAGCTCTCCGATATCCAAAACGCTGACTTGGTTCACCAACAAAGAAGATCAAAGGTCTACGGCCACGGGCACAAGCTGGTTCGGCAAGGCCCCTTGGCACCGTAAAGACTCCAACGACACCATCAGCAGTGCCACAAGTTCTGTTCGAGACTTTTTGGCAGGAAAAACTCCGCCTGTAACGCCTGATCCCGAGGGTTTCTTGAGCCGTAGGAAACCAACAATTGCCGATCTTAATGTAAGCTAACATCAGAAATAGGCCAACAAGACTCTACCCTGACGCCGTACCCTGCTGGAGTGAGTGCATCCAGATCATCTTCGAGAAGTGTTCAACTGACCGTCACTTCAGGAAGCTACAAGGGTGAGAACTCCGCCAACGCACGAGGACACCGCGGATGGAAAGTCACGAGGCTTTTTCACAGACATGGTTCCACCTGGGGAAGACAGTGATACCTGGAACGCTGCTCAACCGGCCAGATCTACAAGCGTTAAACGAAACCAAACGAGATGCGACGACAATCTCCCAAAAAGACCCAAGGAGTGGTGGGAAGCAAAGCAACGAATACAACCCAAGCGGAGACTAACAGGACCTCGCAATTTCGAATTTGATATCCCGGAGCACCTACCCAGTAGTCCAATGTGTCCGGCGAACCCTAAACACGTATCGGGCGGTACTGGGGTTTGTGTTTATCACGGGAGAGGGAGGAAAGAGTCAACACTCAAGATAGAGCATAGAATGAGTGACAGACGCCAAGGATCAGAAGTGTCTATTACCTCGGAGACCGATGAAAGATCAATATGGGACTGATGCTGGCTGAGCCTTTATTCACGCCCTAAAATAAATCAAATTGACACATTCCCACGATCCTATTACCTTGTGTGGGCAACACTAACAATCATGCGTTCTCCAAACAAATCATGATTATAGGGATGTGTGGGTCAAGGTCGAGAGAAAGCAGCTTGAAGCTTGGAGGTGCTTAGGAGGCCCAATTGTGGCGCAGCTCTATAGGTTGGCGCGTGATTAATATGGGCCATATAATGTGGCTGAAAATGGCGATAGGTAGCCAACAACTGAGGCTGAACCTCTAGCCCCAAATTTCGAGGCTCGTAAACACCCCGTCGCATCTACACATACAACCCAAGTCACGCTCAATTCGGTCTCCCAAGCCTTTTGGTCATCTTTCCAGGCTTTTGAAGCTCTATAAGAGCCCGATACTTATAAGCCTATTGTTTCTTCTACCTATCATTATGGCTGCTAACGAGCAGGATCCATTGCTCCTGCTGCGGCAATCCATCGCATCGAAACGGCCTGCGGTTCCCACAGCTTCAGCCGATGCTTCTGCGACCGAGGTTCCTCTCTCGCAAGCTACTCATCTACTCTTCTCGCACCCAGCTCCCGTTTCTGTATCGCTCTCGACACCGACGCGTTTCATTTCAAGCGACCGCCCGGTCGACCTGCGATCCATCTACTTCGCCTGGCTAAATAAGGATGTTGCAATTCCCGAATACAACGCAAGCGCTACCCGCCTCAACGAAGAATTGGGCAGCCTAGGCACTGTCCAAAACCTTGCCTTCGTCGAACGTTTAGACTTGTTCACTTGGCTGGAAGGCGCTAGTGAGGAGAGTGAACACATCAAGCCTTTGGCTGGCGACAAGGACGGCAAGGAGGGAGCTAGTGCGAGCGCGTCCAAGACTGCCCCAGCAACTGCGGCCAGTCGAGCTGGACGAGGCACTTTGGATCCTAGATTGGCGGTCATCTACAATGGAGAGCGCAAGATGGGGGATCGCAACTCTGTGTTGCGCGGCGTGAAGCACACGGTGAGTCGCGATCAACCTCACAACCAAGCTATGCATGACTGACTCGATTCTTTTTAGGACTTCTCCCATGTCCGTAAGCTCGCTGTTCCTTTCATCCAGAAGAAACCCAATGGCTCGTCGAACATAAGCGCCAACCCATCCCTCGCGCTCAACCAGAAGGCCCCAACGAGGCGACCAGACCCGATTATCCTCCTCTCGCCCTCGGCCTCCTCCCTTCTGCGCCTGTCCAACATCCGCTCTTTTCTCGAGTCAGGGCGCTACGTGCAGCCCGACGGCAGCGCTGCTGCTAGTATGCTGCACGTCTCCCGCGTCATGAAGGATATCGACCCGTCGCGGCCCATGCGTTTCATTCTCGTCGAGGGCCCTGAGCAGTTCAAACCCGAGTACTGGAATCGCGTTGTTGCAGTCTTCACCACTGGCCAGTCATGGCAGTTCAAGAACTACAAGTGGAGCTCTCCTCCGGATCTGTTCCGCCGTATTTTGGGCATCTTCATCGGCTGGCGCGGGGAGCAACCGCCAGACAGCGTAAAGGACTGGGGCCACCGCGTGTTGCAGCTCGGCGTTGATCGTTGGCGTGATGGAACTGGTGCTCAGGAGGCGGCCAAGTTCAGGGACAAGGAAGCTGCAGAGTCGATCTGGCGGGCAATTGAGGCGAACATGAAGAACAAGGGATGGACAAAAACCACTGCGCCAACCCAGCTATGAGTTTCCATCAGAGTCTCTTAGGATGACGCACAGAGATGGCTGTCATCGATGCTACGGGACCGAGGACTAGGGTATCCGACTTCCACATAACAACCAAAGTCTACCATGCATGTAAAAGTAAAACACAGGGGCTGGGAAACAAGTTCACAGCGATGGCGTTCAAGGATTGATTTGTGCCAGGCGGCTAGCAGAGGGGACTGCTCTGGGGCAACTTTTAAGGTACCAGAGACTAGAGTGACTACCATGACATCAAAGTCTCGAAAATGAAGTTTTGAAAAGTATCTCACTTATTTGGTGATAAAAGCGAGGGGTTGCGACTCAGTTGAGAAAGGCACCAATGGATACGTCTTAACTGTACCCTTCCATTCTTCCGCCGGGCAATACAAGATAAATGGCGCTGATGAGACAAAGACCAGGGAGGTTCCACCTGGGTTCATCGAGTAGGTTGTCTTGAGATCATATTCGTTGCAGAAGACCACTGCCTTACAACACGCCAATGAAGCTGAGGCCCAGGGCATCCATATGCCCCTGGTCTGTCTGGATGGCGGGGGCGGGTCCTGATCCTGACGTCGTCTAGCATAAGTGTTTGATCCTAAGGCAAGGTGTTCGGTCGATCATCCCCTCTTACGCATCGTTACGAATACTTGGAGGGGGTTCAAGTTCGATAGAAGAAACAAAACCGGCTTTGAGGTGTTTACGTAGCTTTCGGCTGGCGTAGGAGTGGGCTCTAAACTCGCGTGGACTTGGGTTCATGCGGGGGAGGGGTCCGGCGGGCTTACTGCAGATGAGCCAAGCTGGGAGGCCGAGCAACGGTAGTTTTGTGACAATCTTTCAGTAAGTTTTGTTAATAGCCGCCTTGATGTGTTGCAGAGAGATTGTTTGTTTGATTGATCACAAAAATCTCGCAAGACTCCATCTGGCTCAAGATTTCCTCTTGGGAAATTGTCTCTTCAACATATGTGAGGCGCAATTGGGGGTTCCGAGGCCTCAGCTCAGATAGCTCCAGTCGGAGATTTTGAGGCTACTGTCTAATTACCTTAGTGTCAGCTTAGGCCGGCACAAGGTTGCCGAAGATTGGATTCTCCTTCGAAAGTCTTGTCTCTTCAGATTTGAGGTGACCCCCCGTGACTGGAATGCATCGGCGCAGATGCCGTCGAATCAACGCAGCGTTGAGGGCATACGAAGAATCCGTAACTAGGGCAATTTTGGTAGCTCCATCCTCCAACTCCATCCTCGGCTCGGTTTATCCAGGCGATGCTTGGAAATGCATCACGCCTGCCGATATTCCACGCTAGAACGGTGGCTTAGCCCAGCTGGATAGGCTGACTAAAGAAAGGTTAGGCAACTCGGGTGAGGCTTGAGGCGATGAGATCCCCACTATGGAGGCGATATGATGCTAGGTAGTCGTGCGTAGCTATCTGTAGATACCTCACCCTTCCCCACTACCTATTGCGGGTATTGTTCGAAGAGGCGTATTTGGTGAAATTGAAGGAGAGTCCAGACGACATTCTGGCATGCCTTACGTTATGCAGAAACGAGAACACAATAGCGTCAAGCGCACTTACACGCGTCTTGCCGCCAAGCGGGGGGTAGGGGGGAGGTGCGTCCGTGTCAGTGGAGAGAAGCAAGCAGGCGCAGACTGGCTGCGGGCAAGGCAGGCAACGGTTGGGGAGCTCGAGACAGCTGGGGATCCAGCTCAGGCCAGAGGCAACCGGGGAGTCCCTGGGAACCCTTCTAAAAAACTAGACCCTTTTACCCCATCCATCCCTCCTTGCTGCCCGCGCAACCAAACGGACAGAGGTGGGTTAGACGGCCCGTCAAAAACAAACGTTGAATTAATATTTGCTTCTTCCTTTTCGGTTTCGCACACTGCCGATGCGGCTCCTTTCTTCTCGTCTTGACGAACTACCCGCGAACCCCTTTCCTTGGAACAACGTCGCATCACAGCTGCGTCTCTTCCACCTCGCCTCTCCCGTCGGGCACCCGCGGCTCTCGTCCGACATTCGCCCACGGTAGTCAGCTTCTGGCATCTGCTTCCCAGTTTGACGTCATCTCGGTGAGTTGCTTTCCCATACACGCACGTCGCATCGCATCTGCCCAATCATCACCGCGTCTTCCTCAATGTGAGATTGTCTAGCAGAACGACGGTGAAGGGCCAACCAGTACCAACGAACTTCCTGCGGCTCCAGTGCCTTCGTCAACTGGTTGGCTCGACTTCTCAGCCCGGCAAGCCTACCCTGCTTCAGATCGCTTCTCTTCCTCCCCCCACGGTGCCTGCTTCCGTCATCTAGCCTCAACGCATATCCTTGTTGCTGTGCAGTAGTCGCCTGTTCAACATAACGCTGCGAGCTGCGAGGGGCAACAAACACCAAAACTTCCAGATCTGTGGGGAGCAGCTGCCGACGTTCCTCCCGTCATCCTACAACTGGGCGACTGCTACCCATGTGTTACCTCCGCGATTGCTTACCTCTTCTAAAACTACTGCCGTGCCCTTTACCACGATAACTTCCGCTTGCGAAAACATCGACTACTTTGTTCCAAACTACCCGTGACACGATTGCTGACTTCCTTTGCTGCCTTAGTCCACTCATTCTTTTGCCTTCCCCCTCCTTACAGAAAACCACAACCTTTCGATCAACCTTCCGAAGACGAACCTACGTCTGCCAACGTGGTAGAAATCGAAGCTGCAGACAGCTATTGCGACTACGTTTCCCGGACCGAAATAACGGTGCTTGGAGAACCCGATTGTTTTGCGAATCTCGACTGTCACGTCACTTTGCTCAGCCACCAATTACGCAGGCGACACATCTGAGCTACGCCACACCAAGACCTACCCAACACAAGGCTGTGTGTCTAGATCCCGGCAACTTTCAACACAGACAGGCGGCGAAGCTACTTTCGATAACCTCGAGCGTGCTTCGTTTGGTCTACAGCTCTACAACTCTTTCCCACGTCGAGATATCCTAAGCTTGGCATGCGTTTTGGACAAAACAGTCAGCATTTCCAGAGTCTCTAGTCTTTGTCGAACATCAATCGACCGTCAGGATGGGAGGAGTCGACATGAGCCGCGATTACTACGCGGACCTAGAGCTCCCGGCAGACGCAGATACGAATGAGATCAAGAAACAGTTTCGAAAGCTAGGTATGGTGAAGCTGATCTCTTCCTGTCGAACGAGTTGATTGACCCAAGCTAGCACTCAAGTACCACCCCGATCGAAATCCAGGCAGAGAAGCCGAAGTCAACTCCCGATTCCAGGTCATTCAGTCAGCCCATGAAATTCTTACTGACCCTCAACAACGAGCCAAGTACGATGCCGGTAGAACACGATCGAGATATCCTACAGCATCCGGGGTCCGAGGCAACCCCTGGCAGAATGCCGGTGCCAACTTCCCTCCCCCACCTCGTCGTAATGCGACAGCTCGCAATCCGCCGCCGCCTCCGCCAGCCTCAGGAGCAAGTAGATACCGCAACTTTGCTTCGGGTGCGGCGCCGACGGCCAAAGCGCAGACGAGAGACGACCCAGAAGCGAAGCGGAATGCCTGGCATGCTTTTGAGAATATGAAGGGTCGGGCCAGCCAGTCTCAGCCAAAGCCCGCCAAGGCCCCCGAGACTCCAAAGCGACCAGTTCCCCGGACTCCTTCTCAGAAACAGAGGGCGGAGGCTTCCTTTGGACGCAAGCCTGGCTACACTCCTCACTCGCCCGTCCCTGCAGATGAGCCTCCGGTGAACTCGTCCAACTATTCCACCTCATCCCGGCACACCAACATTTTCGCAGACAATGCGCGAAGACAACAAGAGGCAGGAGTGCCAGACCCTCTGGCGCAATTTAGGGACTCGGATTCTCGCCAAAGCACTCCTTACATGTCACATGGCGGCGAGAAACTGAATCCATTTGATGGCATCTCTGTGGGACGGGCGAAAAGCACCCGGGAAAGCCCTCGACCACCTCAGGATAGCTACGGCCCCAATCTTTCGCCTGGCAGCGCTCGTCAACGCGCCCAGAGTGTCCCCCGTCAAGCAAGGACTGAGCCGTCGAGCCCGCGCACTTCGACTTCGACGCCGCAAGAGGACCGCCCTAACACGGCGGCTGCAACTGCGTCCAACTCGCCCAAGGACCCATTCAGATCCCGCGCAAGCGCAAGATACACTCCACCTAATACGGCCACCGGTCCTGGTCCGAATGATGCGCAGGCGAAGGCCACTGCTTCTCAGAATCCTAATGGTGGGATTGTCTAAAGCTTTATAACCCAGCAAAAGCTAATGTTTTCGCAGGAGCGGGAAACATCCACACGGCACAAGGATCTTCAATGTACGGAACATCTTTTCCCCCAGGTTCTTTTCCTCCTTTTGCGGTTCCCAACCTGCGGCGCAAATCAGCAGCCGAGGCTCGCACACAATGTGCAACGCAGCATCCGCTCCCTGAGCAGTCGAGCAACGCAGAACTGCATGATTCGCCGTCTCCTAGTGGAGATAGGTCGAGGAGAGACTCACTCACACCATTCGAGCGAAAGCAGGGCGAACTTCTGAGCAAGCTTGTGAAGAGACAAGCGCCAGACCTGACGCCGCTTTCTCGTGACAAGCGCTACACGATTGGCACTCACCATGATGTTGCACCGAACCAAGCTGACAAGAAAATTACCAATAGCTTCAATTTTCCGATCGACGATGACACCTTCGCCCGAACCGCCGCACCAGAGCAGCCAACTTTCAGCCGCAGGAGCACCGAGGAAATTGACACGAGCTTTGTAAACGGTGATGGTCCAGATGCTTGGAAATTCAGCGCCGGCAGTCCGATCCAGGACCAAGCCGCCAAGGTTCGTTCACAATCCGGAAGCCGTGTAGGCCGTCGATCACCGATCAAGCGCCCCAGCTTGAGACACCAGAAGGACATGTCGGGCCAGCCGGCAGGATCACCTTCTGCGGAAGGAAAGTTTGATGCGCAAGACTGGACCCAACAGATTGGGGCCCAAAACTTTGTGCCACACAAGACGCACTCTACATCAACGTCTCCTACCAGAATTTCTCGAGTCAACTCTAGGAAGACTAAGGTCAAGCCGACGGCAGGGGGCAATGCAGGACTGGTGAATGATGACTACGACAGTGACGAGGAGACTGAGTGGAGAGGGCGAAAGTCAATGGCGGAGCCTATTGGTGCAAACAGCCCGAATGCTATGGACATCGACCCCCCGCAGACTGGGACTTCTCAAAAGCGAGATCATTCAAACAGCGCGAGAAACATCCCTGTGGAACCATCTCGTCCCGAATGGAGGCCAGGCAATGGCTTGCAAGAAAACGGCCCGAAGTTACCTGCGCGCAAGCCAGAATTCAACCCGAACAATGCCGGTTCTGAAGACAGCGAGGAGTTTAGAGCCAGCCTTGCTGACCTCAAGAACGTGGCGCCATTCGCGCAAAACTCTTCTGGCCTAGGTTCTCTGAATGATCTCAAGATGAGTCTGCCGTTTGAGAGTCAGCCGTCAGGCCGCGCTCCGATCGAAAAGGAGAAGAAGCCCTCGCTCGATTTTCCGGTCATCCCGCAAGCACCCCGACCCCCGCCTACTTTCGCGGTTAATTTGAAGCCGACCGGCGGTGCCTGGCAGAAGTACACCCAGGACTTCCAGAGTTACGTTTTGAGATGGGAGATCTTCAACGCTCAAGTAATTGAGCATTTCAACGCTCGCAAGGCAAATATCGCCGATCTCCGAGCTCGCAAGGGCTATTCGTTCCTCGTCTCTCGCGGCGATGATGAGATTCACGAATATCTTGAGTGGATGGCACAAGACAAGGAAGTTCGAAGGAAGTGGGCTGTCGCATGCGAAGACCATGAAGCACGCATTCGTGAGTTCATGGTATACAAGGGCAAGATGGCATAAGCGAAGGCTCTTATTTTATTCGTGCCTTCTGCTTGGGAAGGATTCTACTGCCCTCGAAATCCTTGTTCTTACCTTACGGGGGTGTATTTTTCAACTTTGACGACAGCTCGGACTAAATGGGAAACGACACGGAACGATACCCGGCATTTGGGGGGATATTAATCACGATTCAACCTTGTCTCTCTTGACTGGCACAATCGACCAGGCCGCGTTGCACATACACTCACTCGCCGATATCGTTAACGGCGACACACCATTATGACATAGACGAAGAGGGAGGTGTGTGTGTATACACCCATATTTGCGCTACATTTTGCACTTTGCTCTTTTACGTTGGGTTTTTGGGGTTCTTCGATTCGATCCTTTACGATTGTGCCGACCTACGGTCAGCACAGTCTCTCATGGCCAGGCCTTAGTTGTTTCTTGCCTTGGCTACTATGGTGGATCGAATTGTGTAATACATATCAGATTCTTGGGACCCTTCTGAGCCTAACCCCATCAAGCTTGCTTGAAACTTTTCAAGCTGAACAGGCATGAGGAGACGAATAGACAACCAGCATCATTAGAATTACGCGTTGTGTCGTTGTGGTTTATTCTAATGCTCGTGAATATCTCGCTTTGTCACTACTTTCGTGTTAGATGTGGCAATCTTCGTTCTCCGCTGCCCATGTAGATGAATGGCAAGGGGGCGTTTCGAAGATTTACGTGCAATGAAGTAGATTCTCCTAGATCCTTGCGTCAACACCAGCACAATAAACGCTGAAGTCATCGCGAGTTCCTGATTTTCTACAAACCAACCCCTTTCTCTTTCTTTACTGCCCTTTTCTTAGTGATCAATTTCCTTTCTACGGGTAGCTCATGCTATCCTTTGTGGCCCTCAGCTCACAGCCAAATGCCTTGCTTACTACGTCTCTCTCTCTCTCTCTCTCTCTATCAAGAAGGAAGAGGCGGAGACTTGAGAGTGCCTCGAGATCCGGAACGTTCCTGGATCTCACGATCCCGTGAAATAAAAGTCTAGCTCCGCTTATGTCGTGACTCTGACCCAAGGAAAGCCTTGCTCGCCTTTCTTCTCTTCTCTGAATTGTTTTCAGGAACAAACCTCTTGCGTTTGCAATCCTTGCCTATCTTCGAAAGGTCCGAGCCGCGATATCGTTTCTTGCTGTACGGAATCGAAACGCCGAGCGAAAGTTGCTCTACTTTGCTTATACTCGCACCGCATTTTTCGACTTCGACTTGAATCAAATAAGTCATGGCGAAGACCCTCGGCACGCGGAAGGAGGCTGTTACGCTTCCTCCGCTGAGACCTCCCAAGCCGACCCTCAAGTCGAGCTTCAGAAAGGGCCCTCAGCATTTCGCCAACAATATGTGCTGGCATCAATACGGACACAACATGGGAATTCTGCTCAAGCATCTTACTTGCAACATGTGAGTGAAGGGAGTTTCCTCGAGTCTTTTGGTTTTTGTTTCTCTTTCTCGGGTTTATGGGGATCTGTCTGGGTGGTGAGATATCATCACTGAGGTTTACACTTATTGCATGTTTTTGGTTCGTCGAGGGTGGTAAGGTTTGCCTTCCTCCAGAGAATCAGGTTCCTTCTTTCCTCTGGAGCTTATTCTGAAGAAGAATCCCGTCTCCTGCCGTGAGAGCTCTCAAATAGCTTGAACTCACATTGGGAAGATAGTAGAACTCTTCGAGGAAGGAGACGCCTTGAACCTTTCCCCGTCCTTCCTTCCTGATTTACACTGCCAGAGGCCTGCCTCATTCCCATCCACCTCTCACATAAAACCCGGCTCTTCCACCCTCTCACTCTACCCTTCTCACTTCCTCACCCTCACACTTCTTTTCACACTCACACTTGTTATCATCGAACCTCAGCTACACAGCGAAGCTGCAAAAACTTCATCGTCTATCACCGTTTTCACTACAAGTGAGCAATACACCTTCACAACCCAAATCTTTTACCTGCCTCACTCGATCTCCTTCCGTTATCATCACCACCCTCTCGCACCTTCTTCCACCTCTCACCACCATTTTCACTTCCGTCATTACCTTCGCATCTTTCATCTCTTGTCCTCACATTCTCATCTTTCTCGCACATTCCTTACTTTCCATCAGTAGTACATATTCCTCGTCGTTGGCTACTGACAAACCAAACTTATAGCAGAGAAGAATACCATCGTTCCGACATGGCTGACACCAAGTCCATCAACGGTAGCGAGGCGGCTCCTGCCGCTGGTCGCGTCGGTGCTTGGACCGATGCTGAGCGCGTAAGTCTGGCTTCAGTTCAGTCGTATTTTCATTCCTTTCATTCAGGTTCTCTAACACACGGATATATAGTTCCAGCTTGTCCTCCGCGTGCTCGCGACCGTGCTTCCTGACGGCAAAGGAGTTGACTGGAAGAATGTCAACATGGAGGGCCGCACTCTGAAGGCCTTGCAGGGCCAGTGGACTGCTATCATTGCTCAGATGCGTGAGATCAACACCGGCGAGAACGGAGAGGCCGCTGCCCCGAAGCAGAAGACCCGTAAGTCATCATTATTCTACTCATATCTACATTCAAATTGACTTCTCTCCAAGCCCGCAAGACTGCCGTCAAGAAGAAGGCTGTCGCTGCTCCCGAGGATAGCGAGGAGGCCAACGGCGACCAGGAGCGCAGCGAGGAGACCAAGCCGGTCACTCCGAAGAAGCGCGCTGCGGCGACTAACGCTGGTAAGTATCGCATCCAGACACTCGATTCCCAACGATGCATGAAGCTGATCTATTACCAACCAGATGGCACTCCCAAGAAGAGACGCACCCCGGGCAAGAAGGCGGCCCAGGTCAAGGCCGAGGCTGAAGAGGCTCAGGAGACTGAGGGTGAGGCCAAGGTCGAAGGATCTGAGACTCAGGTTGAGACCAAGGATGAGAAGGATGGCGAGCAGTAGGTTATCTAATACTGCTGCCGTCGCTGGATAGCCGTCTCACTCTACATGGCTGCGGTTGGTTTTCATTGGGTTCCGCGCAAGGAATGGACATTACTCTGAAATGGCTTGGAAAGGGGACAGAACGTGCGACTAATTGCTCTTGAGTTCACATACGTCCCTGGGGTAGCTCAGGTCATCAGAAATCAAAAGGAATACTCTTCACTCTTGCTGTGCCCATCGTCTTGGGCCTCGGGCTCTTTCGCTGTCCCCCCGTAACCTCTCCCGGGACCATGCTGTAGTCCGTAAACCAAGACGGAAAGAACAGCTTGGAGTCAGATGTGGCTGGAAGCCGGTGGCGACAAATGATTGTCCGCATTGGAAGACAATATCAAGCGACTTGGTGGGCGGTGATGAAGCCCCGAAACCGCGCCCGACAATCGATAAACCGGCTCTCCAACGAATCAGGTCGCCGAACATGGACTCCCATTCAAGGTGCATCCCGGCCGGTCATTCGAGCAGGACGTTGTGAGACCTGCATATTCTTGCAGCCTGGAGTTCGGTCGTTGGTGGTGTACTGCGTGAGAGCATGATCCATTCCGTCCCATCTCGGCCTGCGGGCCAGGCACCACACTCATTGACGTCTGCCGTCAAGAGTGTTAAAGTGAACTTTGCCAGAGTGCTAGACCGCCTTAGCGAACTGTACAGGCCTCAATAGGGACGCTAGTGTCACATTACATCAGCAACCGGGGAATTAGTGGAGAAAATTAGCAGGGATGGACACCCACCCGGGACATGCACCCATTAAGCGGGCTCTTATGCATCTAGCCTGGTGATCTCACCTGGGTGACCCCCATATCGGACAGATCCTGTTTGTTTGCCATCGTCCCGCACCTGAAATTTTTGACGACAAACGACGTTGGCAAGAGGTGTTCGCGTTTCCAGCACAACTCTGCTAGATCACCTTTCCCACACTCATAGAGGGATCACATGCGCAGCAGCTTGAGGTTCACTCACACCCTACTCTGATAGCCGGGACAGCCAATTGCCCGCCGTTCATTTGACAAAGGCATTGTTCATTTTCGTATCCACAGCTGAAGGTTGCCATCCTTTTCTTCCACCTTCTCTCGCTGGATGCGCTCCGTCTTTACTGGAGGCAGAGGGACTTGCTTGAGCCTTGCATCCACCCCGGCAGTACTAGCACGACGACCTTGGACAGCATCCACCAACACCGTCACCACCACCACCACCACCACCACCAAAACCTTCACCCTTACCTCCCCCCAGCTTTTTCGACGCCAACTCGAGCTCCTCCCGTTCGCACAACGCGGCTACTCCCGTTTAGCTCGAGCCATTTCATCTAGAGACACCGGCTATAAGACAACGCGACGAACCATCGGCGCTCAGACTCGTCGCCCCTTCTCAGCCGCCGTCGAACCTGATCCCTTGTCGGCGCAGCAGCAAAGCGAACTACCCTCTACCCAGACCACAACGATCGAGACCGCAAACATGAACGGCAACAGCGCATCGCCGCGCTCCAAGCGCAAGGCCCCTACGAGCCCCGAGGGCTTGCGACCCCATAAGCAGCATCGCGCCCTGAACGGCAAGCTGTCTGCCGGCGACAACACACCCGAGGTTGAGCGCGTTGAGGAGCTTGAGGAGGAGAGCGAGTTCGAGGATGCCGCGCGGCTGAATGGCATGTTTCCCATGACGCAGGAGCCGGAGGCGTGGCAAAAGACCATTGAGAACGTTGTCAGCAACGTTGTCTCTATTCGCTTCTGCCAGACATGCTCCTTTGACACGGATGCGGCGTTAACGAGTGAGGCCACTGGCTTCGTGGTGGACGCTCAGAAGGGGTAAGATTAGGATTTTACGGAGGCAAGTCATCATAGGGAGGCAGGGGGCTGACGAAGTGGACTACAGATACATCTTGACGAACCGACACGTCGTTGGATCCGGACCGTTCTGGGGTTACGTCGTCTTCGACAACCACGAAGAGGTTGATGCGTACCCCGTCTACCGCGACCCCGTTCACGATTTCGGTATTCTTCGATTCGATCCCAAGGCTGTCAAGTACATGAAGCTGAATGCGCTGGTGCTTCGTCCGGACCTTGCAAAGGGTAGGCAACAACCTTGATGGGTAGTGTTTTGGAAGTGGATCCGCTAACAGCTTGACAGTTGGTGTTGAGATCAGGGTGGTTGGTAACGATGCCGGAGAGAAGCTCAGTATCTTGTCTGGTTTCATCAGTCGACTGGACCGAAATGCGCCGGAATACGGAGAAGGGTACAGCGATTTCAATACCTGCTACTACCAAGCCAATGCTGCCGCCAGTGGTGGTAGTTCTGGCAGTCCGGTTGTGAACGTGGACGGCTTTGCGGTGGCTCTGCAAGCTGGTGGACGATCCGATGGTGCTTCGACAGATTACTTCCTGCCATTGGATCGACCGTTACGAGCTTTGGAATGCATTCGCCAGGGCAAGCCCGTCACAAGAGGTGACATTCAATGCCAATTCCTCCTGAAGCCTTTCGACGAATGTAGACGCCTCGGCCTTACCCCGGAAACGGAGGCTGCGACTCGCCAGCACTTCCCCAAGGACAACAACATGCTTGTTGCCGAAATCGTCCTTCCCAAGGGGCAGTCTGACCAGAAGATTGAGGAAGGCGACATCCTGGTGAAGGTGAATGGCGAGCGTGTCGGTCAGTTCATCCGTCTGGATGATTTGCTGGACTCGAACGTTGGCCAGACCATCCATCTTCAAATCCAAAGAGGCGGCGAGGACATTGAGGTCGATGTCGAGGTCGGTGATCTACACAAGATCACCCCTGACCGCTTCGTGTCCGTCGCAGGCGCTAGCTTCCACAGCCTGTCATACCAGCAGGCCCGTCTGTACGGTGTAGCGTGTCAAGGTGTCTTCGTTTGCGAGGCGACTGGCTCTTTCAGATTCGACAACGCAGACAATGGCTGGCTGATTCAGACCGTGGACCACAAGAAGACCCCTGATCTGGAAACCTTCATTGAGGTGATGAAGACAATCCCAGACAAGTCCCGCGTGGTCGTAACTTACAAGCACCTGCGTGACCTGCACACTCTGAACACCACAATCATCTACGTCGATCGTCACTGGTCAGCAAAGATGAAGATGGCTGTCCGGAACGATGAGACTGGCCTCTGGGACTTCACTGACCTGGCTGATCCCCTTCCTCCCAAGGCGCCTGTTGCTCGCTCCGCCTCTTTCATTCAACTCGAGAATGTGAAGCACACGGCCATTGCCGATCTAGTGCGCAGCTTCGTCCACGTCAACTGCACCATGCCTGTTAAGCTGGACGGCTTCCCTAAGAACAGGAAGTGGGGCATGGGCCTGGTGATTGACGCCGACAAGGGTCTTGTTGTCATCTCAAGAGCAATTGTGCCTTACGATCTGTGCGATGTGACGATCACCATTGCGGACTCGATCATTGTCGAGGGCAAGGTCGTTTTCCTCCATCCCCTTCAGAACTATGCCATTGTGCAGTATGACCCGGCGCTGGTCAATGCTCCCGTTCAAAGTGCGAGGTTGAGCACGGACAACATCACTCAAGGAGCTTCCACCAACTTCATGGGATACAACAGGATTGGAAAGATTGTTCACGCCTCCACTACAGTTACCGAGGTCACCGCTGTGGCGATCCCGGCCAACTCTGGTGCACCCAGATACCGTGCCATCAACGTCGATGCCATCACTGTTGATACGAGTCTCAGCAACCAGTGCGGAAGCGGTGTTCTCGTCGCCGACGATGGTACGGTCCAGGCCTTGTGGCTCACTTACTTAGGCGAGCGTTCTCCCTGCAGCAACCGTGACGAGGAGTACCACCTTGGTCTCGCTACGCCTACTCTGCTGCCTGTCGTGTCTCAAATTCAACAAGGCATCGTTCCCAAGCTGCGCATGCTATCCGTCGAGTTCAGAGCCATCGCCATGGCTCAGGCTAGAGTGATGGGCGTCTCTGACGAGTGGATCAGCAAGGTCACCGAAGCAAACAAGACACACCACCAGCTGTTCATGGTCAGCAAACGGACCTTTGAGCGCAGCGAGCAGTCAAGCGCTCTGCTTGAGGGTGACATCCTGCTCACTCTCAACGGCAAGGTCATTACCAAGGTTTCCGAGCTGGACATCATGTACTCTCACGAGGTCCTCGACGCCGTCATCGTCCGCAACTGCGAGGAGATCCACATCAAGGCTCACACCGTCGCCGCCGACGATGTCGAGACCGACCATGCCATCTCCTTCTGTGGTGCCATCTTGCACCGACCTCATCATGCCGTCAGACAGCAGATTAGCAAGCTGCACAGCGAGGTGTACGTGTCAGCCCGCACTCGCGGTTCGCCTTCTTACCAGTACGGCCTCGCGCCCACCAACTTCATCACCCACGTGAACGGCAAGGCGACGCCTGATCTGGAGACCTTCCTCGCTTCCGTCCAGAAGATCCCAGACAACACCTGTAAGTAGCCATCCGGCCCATTCGTTCCTTGTACATCAGCTAATCGTGTTTCTTGCAGACTTCCGACTTAAGGCTGTCACCTTTGACAGCGTGCCTTGGGTCATCACCATGAAGAAGAACGAGCACTACTTCCCGACAACGGAGTGGACCAAAGACCCGTCGGAATCTTGCGGCTGGAGACGGAAGACGTACGAGGGCGGCAAGACGTACGATGGTGAGGGTCCCGATGGTGTGCTCGACTCTGTGCTCGCCGTCACTGAGGACGCTGAGATGGTCGATGAGCCCCCTGCGCCCTTGTAGAGCAATACGAGGACCACATACACACTTATGAATCAAGCAAGCCTGTCGGAAAAAATGACGACCGACGACATTGTATCCCACCCTGACTCGGCATCATGAGATCCGGGGCATTTTAATGACAAAAACACCATTCAGACACACACACCATTGGGAAAACTTCTGGACAAGGACAGGACAGGACATGGGCAAAGGGGCTGAGGGATTCAAGGGCATGGGCTAAGGCGAAACGCGAACGCGCACGGCCGTGAGGACAGCATTCTCAACTGGATGTTCTTGTATGTACATGTATAAATAAGGGTTATAGGGGAAAGGGGGAGGATCGCGTTTCCGATGGAAAATCTTGTCCTCCTATCTTTTCTCCTAGGCTTTCTTCTTTTGCTTCGTTTCTCTGTTGAATACCCGTCTGACTTCGAGAGGGAAGTCTTTTCGTCCTTAAAGCCGTCTTGCTTTCTGGTGAATGCCGTGCTGCCTCTCCTGAACAGGTTACGACTCTTGCTTATTAGTCTACTCAGGTTTCAGTAGGTGACGGGCTTCCAAAATGGCTCATGATCGACAAATCAGGTATGACCACCTATATCTTGTATCAACATATAGGCTCCCTGTAAAACATGTCTATTGTGCAGCTCGCCTGAGGTTGGAAGGCCTCCAAAAGTAGAAACAAGTGTCTTGAAGTAAAAGACGGATCTGGACTCACCGACCAGGAGAAAGTATTACATATCCTCAGCTATCATGTATCCGACCCATCCGTTTGTGTTTGCCTTTGAGCTTATTTTGATCTTGCTGACATTGGCACTTCGCCGGGGTGCCCTTTGTGTTTCCTAAATGTGGCTCTAGTTCCGCCCCAGCTTAATTTTGGGCTTCCAGGACTTATGCTTGCTGGCAATGCCTAGTACTGGAGGAGGCACAAGGTACCTCCAACTCTTGTGCGGCCCAGCTTTGATGTCGAATCACCGTCTCCCAATCTATGAGCAGGTCCGCGGATCGTTTTGGTACCAGATCGTCGGTGTGACATCCGCCGAACCGTAGGCGGAATCTGCAAACGAAGCGAGGTCAATCGGGGAATCTGGTGGTATAGCCTCCTCATCTGAAGCCCAGGAATGGTTGACATCGCATTCAATAATTTCGTCGGAGTAAATGTAACGCTTGGTTTGGGGAGGATCGGAATTGGATCCTTGTTCGGCAGGAGCAAGGTTTAGCGCTTTTCTTTTGGAAGCTAGGCTGAATGATTGTTCGGAGGAGAGCTCGTAGATCTCTCGATTTGCTGAGTCTGCCAGTATCCGAGTAGCATTTACCGCAAAGTCTTGTGGAGAAGCCAATTGAACGGATGCCGCACCCAGACTTTTCCGGATGGCCTCGAATGTTTCTTCCAGAGGAAGAACGTAGGCGTCGCCAAACATATCCGCCGCAACTATGTGGCCAAAGACTTCATGATAAGCTGAACCCACGACCCATGCACCGGAGTCGCCTTCCCTAACTATCACAAACTGTCAGTCCCAAAGGCTTTGTGACACATAACGTTGAGAGAACTCACCTTCGCCATCATTCATCGTGAGCATGTACGCCGGAGTGAAGGCATCAGCCGTTTCAAACAGGATCCTAGCCGGTTCATTTGACAGCAAACCAGGCCTAGAGTAATCGGCGTTTGCAATCATCTCAACCTCCTGACAGGCCGCATCCTGGGTGAAAGTCCCAAGCTCAGTGGCAAGAGAGTACTCTAGAGTTCTCCCCGAAGGATTTCTCGTTCGATATCTATTCGAGCCGAACATCAGAAGATCTTGACATTCAAGTAAAGCCCAATCAAAATCTGGACCTTTCTCTTGTGGCCTATCTCGCGTCCAAATCTTACTGAGTATCTCCCAGTCACCACACCCATATACGCTCAGTTCACGCGAGAACGCTTTGTAGCTATGTCTCTCGAAATCGTAGTCTCTTGAGCATGCCATGTTCTCATCATCGAAGACGTGGCCAACCGTCATTCCGTACAGCGTGCTCCGACCTGCAGGATTCAGCACCTTGATCACCCCGCCACAAGTAGCGACCCTAACGTCTCTCTGGGTACTCTTGATACTCAGAGCACGTCCACATAGGCTCCACTTATCAGATCTCCCAAAGTCGGCAAAGTCGCTTGAAGTTCGGTCCATAGACATAAGCGAGTGCGATAGCTTTGCTGTTAAACGTGGCTCTCGTCCTTCAACTATGATGCTGACTGAGGAAGTCTGTTCAGTTGATTCGCATAGTTGTTTGACTATCTTGGTCTTCTCGAAGAATTCTTTAATATTATCGACCAGTTGACTGGGACAAAGCACAACAAGATGCTCATGTGCGTCCTCTTCAGATGTTCCGAGTATCATTTTACGAATTGCCGTGGGACCGAATCGTCCGTCGGTCTTTTTGAGTCGGGCCAGTAGAAGTGGCTCTATCTGATCAGTCATATACTTGAAGCGATCATTCGTTGACTTGTCAGGTGGTGCTTTGAATCTCAAAAGGTTTTGCCCCCCTAACTTGATTGGAATTCCTCTGCCGTATAGAGGCTTGCTGTTCTGAAGCTCGTCTCGACATTCCGATAATGAGATTGGGTCATTTGGAGACGAGTATCCCGAATCTATAAACTTCTCCTCTACTGTAGAAGTGATTTGACAGGGAGCTGGCTTTGTGGTCCGCTGCTTTCGAGTTGTTTCGTTGAAGTAATCGCTGACCTCAGTGCGAGCGACGGCTGTCAAAAGTTCATCGTCCATAGTACCATAAGTTGTGGAAAAGGTTTTGAGAGCGGCGCGCTCGTCGACCCAAAGTTGAAGCCAGCTGGCTTTTACATATAAGGCAAGGTTGATCAGGCAGACCAAAGACTTCCTTCTCCCGTAAAGAGCACTGCCACATCTAGTCGTCAGCCCCAGACACTGCCTCATATACGACAATGTGCCTAAGTGCGGGCTGCCCAATTACCAGCCTCGATCACGCAGCCTGCTTCCAACGTGCATGCACCATAGCTCGTAAAGGCTTGGCTCCGCCTTGTGGTAAACAAGGTGGCCTCTGGCCGAGAATTCGTATTTGTTTCTGCAGAGCTTGCATAACTGTGGTTTCTTTCACCTACGTCTCATCTTAACTTTTCTCTGCCTCCTTCTCTATCATGGACGGGCATGAGATGGAAACGTTTCCTTTGGAGTCGGTCACTAAGCCGCAATTGCGGCGACTAGGGGGAGCACTATGGGGTTGGAAATTGGGTATTGACAACGAAAGCATACAAGTCAGGCCGAATACTGTGAAGCTGGAGCCCTATTTCCAGTTCTATCGAAAGATGACAGCGTCCTATGTATCTGATGCTTTCCCGCCGGATGAAGTCCAAGCTTTACGATCGCACGATGATCTATGCGACATTATCACATTGATCACGTCCAAACCAGATGCTCGAAGAACCGCGTTGACGGAAGAATACTTCTCTGGCCGTCAGAGGGATAGGGAGACCCTGCCAGAAGATGAGAAACAAGCCTTCAACCTCGCCATCAAGGCTATTCTGATGATAAGCTGCTCATACGAGGAAGAAGCTGGTAGCATCGAGTCCAGCATCTGGAGGAACGACCAGTCCGCGCGAGACCTTGTGTTGGCTACATTTCCAGTCAGAGATCACCCGAACCTCAACGAACCTGACGGATCCCTGCCAGATATCAAGTCAGCGTTGAGAGCAACAAGGCTCAAAAAAGTTGCTCGACTATCATTCAGGGGCACAGATGACCTCCGGAACCATCTCCGGATGGATCTCAAAACCGGAGTTGTGGAACTTTACCACCATACTGCCTTCTTGAAGGAGTGCCTCGAAGTATCGAAGGATATTGACGTAGAGTAAGAGATCAAGACCACACTTGATGACGGACGGCATGCTTCAATTTCTAATACTCTTTAGGCCTGTACTACCACGAAAACTGGCTTGGGAAACCCTAGACTCCCTTCAAAATATTCTATTTCGCATATCAGACGAGAGCTCACGAGCTTTACTTCGATCTTTAGTGTCGAAGGACTCCTTCGATCCCGATTGTCTGAGCCTTATTTATCGGCCATATCTGCGTGATAACGAAAGAGAGATCAAGTATCATTACTGGGGCTCTCGATTGATGGACTTATACGACGAACTCGAAAACCCAAGACCCCGGAAACCTATCTACGTTTGGTTAGAGCAACGCAGTAAAGCAAGGCATGTGATGTTGGCGACACTCATTGGGGTAATCATTGCAGTAATCATTGGATTACTGGGACTAGTCGTCAGTCTCTTCCAGGCCTGGGTGTCGTATCAGGCGTGGAAACACCCTGTACAGGACTCGACCGAGGTAGCTAAATAGGGATCAAGATTGGCCTTGTGATTGAGGAGTACAGCTCATCGAGGCTCAACTTGCTGCCATGGAACGCTTGTTTTTATATATAATTGATCATAGTTTCAGTTTTCAATTTGATTTTACGACACTTGTAAAGTCGCTGGGTCCGAGGAGGTTTGACATCCTTACATTGGTCTTTTATTGAGTGTTCAGGGACATCATCTGCTTGAAAGGTTGATGGTGGAGAAAGCTCTAGCTTAGGTGGGGTGGTGACCATGTTCCCCGCGCTCCCTCGGGTACCCGGCTGGCTTATCAGTGCAGACCTCATCTTCATTACAATCTTCAGATAACAATCTTTAAAGTTGAAGAAGAAGCGCATCTAGGCGTCCGTATCGGCTATTGATTCTAGCTCACCCTTGAGCATGCGTACTAATGGCGTCGAGTCCAACTTACACGGCAACGTTGCCAGTCAGCAACCCTTCAAGTTCGTTCTGGCAGTCCGAGCCAGATTCCGTCATCAGCAATCACAAGTCGTAAGTCAGTTGAGCCCAAGTTGCGATTCCACAAACCGGGATTGCATTCTCCAAAGAAAAAGGCCGTTGAGATGTTTGTCGCTCTTATCAAACATCCGCGCAATCATACGTCCAACATGATGATGGCAAATACTGCTTGACAGCTTTCAACTTTCTCCCTTGTCGCAGTAGTCAATAGCAGCGGGTGAACTGACGTCTGAGCGCTTCTAGTCATGAACTTCCGACCTCAGCAGATGTAGTCATAATCGGGGCTGGTATTTCTGGTGCCTTTATTGCCCATAGACTGCTTACAGATCAGTCGCCCAGCAGACCAAAGTCCGTATTGATGCTCGAAGCCCGAGCCGCGGTAAGTGGCGCTACAGGTAGAAATGGTAAGCAAGTTTTCAGTTTCGAAACCAGTAAATCTTCTTTACGACCAACGAGGTTTGACTGTGTGTCGTAGGCGGACACATCAAACCTGATTGCTATCGGGGGTTTACCGCATACTCCAAGCTACATGGCCCCGAGGTAGCTGTGGCACAGTGCACATTTGAAGCGGTTAACCACCGCGAAACTTTGGCATACATCCGAGAAAATGGCCTTGATGATGAGATAGACCTCGTCGAATATCGGTCCGCGGATGTGTATTTGACGGAAAACACCTGGAAAGCAGGACTCGCATCTTACAACGGCTTCAAGGAAGCTGGAGGCGACGTCTCCGAAATCACAGTTTTGCCAAAGGCTGAAGCCGAAGAAAAGCTTCGTATCAAGAGTTGCTTTGGCGCCATCACATTTCCTGCTTCAAGTCTCTGGCCGTATAAGCTGGCTATGGCCATGATACGAAGGTCTCTCGAGGCTGGCCTTCAGCTTGAGACTAACACTCCAGTGCTGGAAGTTTCTCAAGCCGACGGTGGGCATGGTGGTTGGACTGTCGCGACTAGTCGCGGCAATGTCACTGCCAATAAGGTGATACACGCCACCAATGGTTATGCCTCTCATTTACTGCCGGAACTTGATGGGCGCATCATTCCCCTCAAAGGGCACGTTGCGGCCATCACGCCTCCGCCTGCATATGTCGACTTGCCGCTGTCAACTTCTTTTGCTTTCGTGTCCGATGAAAACTACGACTATCTCATACAACGTCCCGGTCCGCAGAAGTACCTGGTCTGGGGTGGAGGAGAAGGCGCACATCCGAACGGGCCTGAAGGCGGCTACGGAGACTGCGATGACTCCTTTGCCATTCCCGAGGTGCTTGACTTCATCAAAAAAGGGCCATCTCGGACTTTCAAGTGCTGGCAGGAGTCTCTCGAAAGCCCAAGTTCCGGGGTCAAAGGTTCTGTTCCATTTGCTTGGAGCGGCATCATGGGGCTCAGCAAGGACTTGTTGCCTTTCATAGGAGAGCTGCCTGGCAAGCCTGGCCAATACCTCATCGGTGGCTATCACGGTCATGGTAAGCATCATTCGTCTTTTCAACGTCTCCCACCTCCATGTTTTGATAATCGTGCTGGAGAAATTCGAACCGCATCTTTCCATTCGGACGTTTCCTTTTCTACATCCTGTGCTAATGGGAAGGTAACTTTCTAGGCATGGCCCGCGTATTCCTGTCAACTAAGGCATTCTGCGACCTTTTCCTCGGACAAGCAATTGACCCGCGCGTTCCATCGCCTTACTTTGATCTAGAGTCTAGGCTTAGAGAGCCTGTTGACATGTCCAAAGTGGGGGACATCTTGTAGTGCGCTGGGGCTTCCATATCAAGTCCCGCAGAACATGCGACTGCGTGTGGGTTGGTCTGATGCATCGCTTTCGCGTTGTGCTCAAGCGGTACACATCTTTTCTAGGTTGACGTCTGAAATAATAAAAGATGAATTCAATAGCTTGATCGCGCGTGATTAGATGAAACACCGGTGTGGACGTCTGGTGCTGTTTTAGCTAGCCAACGATAGTTTTAAGCTTGAGGGGAACGTCAGAGGATGGGGAAATAGGGGCTGCAGTTTGAGACACTGACATATGTCACACCAAAGGAAGTTGAGACGGAATCAATAAGTAGTTTCAACGACATATAAGTCAGGAGCTTTCCCCAGCAACTTCCATGTTAAGAGTGCCTTTTCTGCCTTGCACAGGTGCGCCTGAGTCAGCAGTCACATCATCGTGTCAAACACCGTCTCATTTTCTGTCGATGGAGACCGGAGAGGCTATCCCTCTCATATTCTAGGATCTCCTTGCCAGGGCAACTTTGACATGCCCAAGCTAGAAAAACCCAAACAGTTTTGCATCACCATCATGGAACATCACACTCAATGCCTGATGGTATCCAACGAAAGTAGACACACTTGAGCGTGATTGATATAAAAGGCGCCTCACGAGTAACGCAGTTTAAGTTGTATTAACTCTCGGAAGTATCTCGTCTCGCTCTCAGTAAACTTCCGCTAGTCTTGCAGCTTTCTTTCCTCACTACTCAGGCAGTAGTCATCGTCTTACGACTCTCATAATCATATTACAATATCGCCGACCAGCAACCACCTTTTGTCCTTTCTATCATCAGCAAAAATGAAGTTCTCCACCTTCGCCATTCTTTTCTTGAGCAGCGTTGTGACTGCACTTCCCCAACCGTTGTCTGGCAATGAAGCCATTTCGGATCTCCAGGCACGAGTCGCCTCGAACAACCCCGGTGGCGACGTAGGCGGCGCTATCCTAGTCGACAGAGACCTTGACGAGCTTGTAGCTAGGGACATCGAAGAAGATGACGATGAAGGCCAAGACATCAGCGCTTTGGACACGAGGGAACCAAAGCAAGGTGGAAACGGAGGCGGCGGTGGCTCAAGCTTGATCGAGCAGCTTCAGAGCACCTTTGACCGCAACAACCCCAACGGAACTCCCGCAGCACCCGGTGACCCGGCTGATCTCAATGGCGATGGTGTTATCAACGTTTTCGAAGCTGGAGCTCAAGCGTCCTAGGTGTTGCTGGGAAATAAGAAGAAAAGAATTAAGATGTTAAAGGAGGGGGGGGGGGGTCACATACTTCACAATAATCGTATCATTTGGATATGAAACAACGTCAATTGTTAAGCGAGGCATCCGGCTCCTAATATTATGCTTGTGCTGCAGTCAGAAATTTGAGTGATGTGAACAATGGCACGTGAAATACTTCCCATGGGCTAAATGGGAAAGAAGCCCGTCGCCTAAACTTCCTTCCTTCTGCAACGTCAATCCTAACCACCCCAGGCAGGAACCGCAGGCGTATGCCTTATATTCAGATTGGGATCGCTCACTCGTCAACCAAGCCCCCTTGATCCGTGTGGTCGAGCGGTACAACGCTTTAGTCCGTTGGTATACGAACTTGGTATGAAATCTCGAGAAGTCTGCAAAGATGGAGGGTTTCGTAGGTGTAGCCTGTTCGATTCATGGACTGAGAACCCGAGCTTTTGGTTTTTTTCTTTTTCAATTTTTGATACCTTCTACTGGGCCAACAGGCTAGTCGACCAATCGGCAAAATCAATGACCTGCTCAAGACTATAGTTTCTTTCCACCTTCGGGGTCTTGGTGTTTATGAGGCGCAATACTCTCAGGCTATCACGGAAACCGAGATGTTCTACAAGTCAGCTCCTATTGTCTTGGATAAGTACATATGGAGACTCTACATCGAATAGTGCTTTATTTGGTAGAACCTGCATGCCTCTATCCCGATCCCGATAGCCTTAACTCAATCTAAATGCCTTCGCTAGCTGGAATAAGCAAGAAATCACCATACCCGAATGGAAAGACGATTTTTAAGAATACATGGCAAGTACAACTTTCTCGTCCTCAGCTCAATGAAGCGCCTGCAAGCGCACATAACAGTCCTTGGGCTTATACGTGAAGCCTTCCTTGGGCGCGTAACCAGACAGCTCCTTCGGGCAAGGAAGCAGTTGGAAGTTCCACACAATCATCGTGACGATAATGCGCATCTCGAGGTATGCCAGACGTCGTCCATAGCAGCCTCTGGTACCAAAGCCAAACGCAAGCTGGGGCCCGGCCTGCTGGTCAAATTCGGGCGAGGAATCGTTGGCATCTACCAGCCAGCGCTCCGGCTTGAAATGAGTGATGTCTGCGTCGTCCCAGGCTCTGGCCTTTGCGTTCTGGCTGCTCTTGCTGCGCATCGACTCGTCGACTGGGATGGAGGGCTTCAGGATGCTCTGTCCGCGGGCGGGCGAGAGGATGATGGTGCCCTTAGGAATGCGATGACCGAAGAGTTCCGTGTCGCAGATAGCCTCACGATCCAGGAGAACAGCGGCACTGCCGTGTCGAATAATCTCCTCTACTACGGCATCCAGGTATGGGACCTTGGTTCCAGTGATCTCCTTGATTGTCGGATTTCGGTTTTCGGCAGCAGCGTCGGGAAAGGCCGACTCGAGGACTTCGCGGAGCTTAAACTGGGAGTCTGTGTTGTCTCCCAGAAGCTTGACACCCCAACCTAAGGTAGTGCTGGTAGTGTCGTGCCCTGCTATCATGAGTCCGTAGATCTAGGGATGTGTGAGACGAGAGACTATCAATGATCACGGAGCGAATACTTCAAACTTACCTCGTCCATCATCATAGAAGAGAAGAAGTCTGGTTTCCTGCCATCATTATCGGCGAGCTTCTTTTCCCTTGAAACCATGAGTTCAACGGCAGAAGAATGCTCCTTAGACTCCTTGGAGTTCTGCGTTCTGTCCAGGGCCTTGCTGATCTCCTCGCGGAGGAAAGCGTTTTTGATCTGGATCGCTTGGCGTACAGCGGGTTGCCTCTCTACGCTGAGTCTCCACTTTAGTCTAGGGACGGGCGACCCTTGAAGCTGCTCAATTGCATCCGCTACATCAAGCGATGCCCTGAGGCTCTCGTCGATCTTGGCAGTGGGAAAGTGCAGAGGCTGCTCGCCGCCAGCAGGCGTTGATCCTCGGAGCTGGCGAATGTCATCAGCACCCAAGCCTTTCACAAGGTCCACGGTAGGACGGATGGCACTTTTGGCACCAGCTCCAAAGGAGAAGGCTGTCGTCGCATCAAGAATGGAATAGTAGATGTCGGAGTCGGCCTGGAAGGGGCGGCCTTCTGCAATGCGGGCCTTGTCGTTCCAGAGCTGAATGAGCTGCAGGATGCCAGAGTAGAGGATGGGCGCGGCGTTCTCGTTCAGGAACTGGGGAGACATGAGGTCCTGAAGGAGTCTTCGGTGGTGCTTCCACTCGCTGTTCGTCTTCATGATGATGTGGTGATTGGGCACAGCCCCTGAGATCATGTCACCCACGATGCTCGCTCTGTCGAATTCCTTGCCCCGCCGCAAAAGCACATCTTGAGCCTCTCTGAAATCAGAGAGAATGAGCATTGGTTTTCCGAAAGGGCGGATGAAGATTTGGAAAAGGGGCGAGTTGTGCTTTGCCGCTTGTTCGTGAAGCCATATCTGGAAAGCGCCCGTTCGGGTTATGCCCTCTTGCAGTGAAGCAACATCCCCAAGTATGCTCTTTGCTGAAGTCTTGTTGTAAGGGATGCCAGGAATCGGTTTGGGAAGAGCTTGTCTGTAGAGAAAAAGGAGCAGCAAGCCCACTACTACGAAGAAAATGGCATGGGCTGGTGAAAGGATGGCAAACTCCGTCGGTGTCTCCTCACCGAGGGATCGGCTCGGTAGTACTGTACCCAACATCTCAGTGACACGGGCTGACGTTGTTGGAAGATTGTGACTGGATGATAAATCTCCGAGACTGGATTGTTAAGGTTTGAGACTAGACTGATTATCCCTCCCTGAAGCCGTTGGCTGCATCACGTCTCTTATATCATTGAGGTTTGGAACGCAAGATACAAAACTGCAAGACTTAAGAGTCAATTCTCCGTTGCTATCCGGGCAATAAAGTGCAACTGCACGGGGCTCCATGAAGTCCCAAGAACCCACCATTCCACGAGGGTATTCCAACGATATGATCCTCAAAATGCTGTCGTTGATTCTTGTCCGGAGACTGATGTCACTTGTGGCGATCACCGCCGACTCAGAATCCCGAGCCGTGAAGCCCTGCGGGCCAAGACGGCGGGCTCTAGCACGGCGCATCACCTCCGCCAACGGTCGCGGGGCCAAGTGCTTCGCCATAACAACGTCTTGGCACATTACGAAAACTGCACCTCGAGAATCCACAGCCATGCGGCTGACATGTGACGTACGAATGGTGGTCAAGTCAATCAGATAATCCGTTTGGTTGCCTTGAGCGGGCCGTGGCGATCCTCATGCACCTAACAACGCGCCAAGACAGGATGTGATTCCTACGCTCGGCACTCAATAAACTCAAAACTGGAGATGTTACAAGATTCGTCCAACAGAGTGCGGTTCGGAAGAAAAAACCTCGAGGCTACTTGATCGTCCATTTCCTATCGAGGTCGGAGCAGTTCCCGCAGTGCCCTCCCGTAGTCATTGCCATTCGGAAGTCTCTGGATCGTGTGGATGTGATACTTGGCGGGCTCTTTGTTGGTCAGGAAGACCCCCGAGTGGTGGTCAAACTCAAAGAGTGCCACCGGACTCTGAATACGGTAATAGAAAGGGTCATCTTCTCCGAACCCGCCAATCCAACAAAAATGCGTTTCGTTGAGGTGCTTGAGTATCTGCTTCAAACGGTGTCGGAGTGGCTCAGCAGGCCATAGGGCCAAGAACTCATGCACAATAGCCATGATGAGTATTTGCTGCTCTTCGGACATATCGGTGACAATGATGCCTTCGTAAGGAATCACGCGGTTGTCTTGGAAGGCTCCGGCCATGTGTCTCTATAAATATCTGTTGGCCAAGAATCCGCAGACGGGAGTACAACATCTTACCTGGTCGGCTGGGTTCCACCGACCTTCTGGCATTGCAGGATCTTTCATTGTAGGGTATATTTGAGCTTTCTGTTGCAGTATCGGAGGTAAAGACTGCATCAGCTGTAGGCCCAGCTGGCCCTCGTTGGCGCACAGCGTGAGACCCTTGTCGAGGCCTTCGTCAATGATCTTCCGCACTGTCAGCTTTATCAATGACCTGGGTTAAACAGATGATGAAGAACCCACGTTTGGCTCAGCGCCGATAAAGACTGGTCCTATCACCATTTGCTGGCGAGCGATGAAAACGTTCAAGCATAGATGATGGCCAAACAACATGTAACCCCAGGGCTCTGTTTCTGAGGGCTCACCGAATAACGTGAAACTGAATGCAAGCATTATCTTTAGTCAGATGGAATAGAAAGAAGGCACCGGGATTCTCACGAATAGCTGTGTTCGTTCAAGATGGCTTCTTTTCCACAAATTTCCCCCAAGAACTTGTTCACTTTCATTGCTCCTCGGACCTTGGCAAAGCCACTAGGGCTAAGAGATTGCTCCAAGAGACCTGTGATGGCCTCTGTTTTCGTTTGCTCGAGGTCCTCGAGGCGTATACCGCATTGATGCAACACAAACTCTGGATTACTCCATCTTCTGCTGCTCGGACGAAGGTACCTCATCAATACTGTGGTCAAACCTGGTTCCTATTGGTTCCTATTGTCTGAAAAAGCGACGTACCATGTATCCGAATCCAAGTCGTAGACTGTATCTGCTTTTTCGGACGGACTGAGTGAGTCTAGCACTCTATGAGCCGCGTCAACCTGTTTGGAGTCAACCCATGCTGGCAATACGCAGGGTCAGCTGGAGCCGATCGTTCAGGTTTACCATCTGTTTCGTTGGCGCGCCTTCATCTCGAATTTGATACAGGCCTTCTCTCCTTTTCCCATCGTTTGTGACGCCGTAGAATGGGGCATCGAGTTTCTTTCTCCAGTCTTCCCGGATAGCCTCTAGATGCGGGCTTTTCAGGATAGCCTCTGAGTACTTATGAGGATCACTGACGTCTATCCCCTCAAATCGCGACCAGTCTGTTCGTTGTTAGCTGTACGCCGCTTGTTGCAAAGAACAAGATGATGAAGCTAAGCTCTACTTGATGAGTACTTTCCTTTTGGCGGAACATAACGCCTATAGTCATATGCGGGTGTCTTTGCTGTGTTTTCCATTTCGCGAGTTGACCACCTGTAGGTGCATCTGCTATGGTGAATAATTGCAGGGGCCGGACGGATTCGGTTGCGATTTTACTGGAGTTCCTTCAAACATATACTTGACATTTGCCACAAACGTTTCCCCGCAGTTGATCAGAAAGCCCCTGCTTTTACAATGTGCGGGCCCGGGGTTCTTAATGAAGAGCCGACCTCGGAATCTCGGAAGCGGACTTTGGGATCGACGATGAAGACGCCGCCAAGCTTTGTGTGATTTCTGGCAGACCAGCTTCTGGGGGAAGAAGTGTACCTGTACTCGCAGACTCACCTCCTTTTCATTGTAGAAACACAGCCATGTGGCATGATGGAGAGTTTGCGCTGATATTAGCCTAATAGCGCATATGGCTAGCAGAAATACTGCTGAAATAGACTTTTGACACATGCTTGGTCAGGTCAACTACAGCTTTGTCGCGCTCCATACACTCCGCGGCACCACCCATTTAAGCTCATTCAACCTCACCAATAAGGCAACGATCTGTTCTTCGGAAATTCTTCTTGGGGAACCAAGGTATCCGGGTGTGATACATGTTTGAGGATGCCCCGTTCTTTTGGGCCGTCTGGAGGGGCGCCGAACCGTGTCGGATTGTAGTTTCCGGCATTTACTCACGTCCGACCGCCGCCTCGATCGGCTTCTGGTGGGGCCCGTCCACCGTTGAGCTCCGACCAGACCTTCCGTTAGAGTGGACAGCATCACCGTTTCGTCCATAAACCCTCTGCCCAATTAAGTGTGAGAATACATCAGATGCGAAGTTTACTTTGACCCTATTGTTTCTTCGATCTAATCCGGTCTAGTTTTGATTTAGTGGAAAAGGTGTCCGGATTAGGCGTTTTCAGCCGCAAGTTTGTCTTCACCGAACTACTCCGTACACCTCCGACCTCTCGTCATGTGAAAGAGAAATTGAGTGCTAAGGAAACTTGAAGGCAATCGTACTGACTACAATCAACTGTTATTCCGCGACCCGAGGATTTATTTCCGGCCCGGGCCAAGGCCCCGCGCCGCACTCAGCCTTAATGTGCCAGAACGGCGTAGACACATTGCAGCCTGGTGTGCCTGCGTGATCAGAATCAGGCACCGCCTATCTGGATTCAGAAGTAATTTACGGGTCTTTTCGGTGTATCCAATACCGAAACAAGAATTCCAAACTCTTGACGAGGCTCCTCTTCGATGACTCGGAGCTGTAGACACTGCCTAGACGGACATTGTGTTGATGAAATGTAAGCCTTACGTTGGCAGCTGAGCAACTCTGGGCTTAAGTGGCCATGCTCACGATAACTGTCACTGGGGTCGACGGATTTCATGGCCCCCAGATTGTTCCACTTCACCATATACGCTCAGCCCAGAGGGTCAGCACCTCAACATCACGCGATTGCGATAACAAGCGTTTCCGCAATCACGCTGAGAGCTTCCGGCTTCGGCGTGAAGACCTCGATGACCGGGCGAGATGGAGCCCCCATTGGGGTCTATTGCTGCCTTCTGTAATTCTCGGAGTGCAAGATGTTTCCTATTGCGGCTTCGTTTCTAGTTGCTCGGGCGAAAGAAATGATTCACTGGCTTTGACACATTGTGCTAGAGTCTTGGATGTTTTCCAGTGTCAGCTGTATCCCTTGTCGCCCAGTCTTAAAGTGATACGATCTGGTGATACGCGGGATGAGGTTTCTGGATATTTAAGAGCGATGGAGGTGCTCGTCTGAAGTTGGAAATAGAGAGAAGAAGTATCTTCATTAGCCATATTTCAACAAACTTCAACACCATGGACACCAATTACACTACTCAGGCAGTTGTCCAATCTAAAGACAACTCAATGAATACCGCAAAAGACTTCCGGAAGTCAGTCAAACGAATTTCAACTCAAGAGAGCCTTACTATCAAGAAAATCCTCAAGAGTGATGAGGCTCAGAAGCTTCATCCAGGATACCTGCGTTTAAGAAACTCATTCTGGAGCACGGCTTACAATATCGGTGCCGCTACCGCTTCCTATGTAACTCAGCCTTTCAGCAAACTCGGTCAGACATTGATGCTGCCAACACAGCTTGCGCGCAGCCTACTCTTCGGGACTAAGGCCGACCCATCCAGTGGGACTTTGACAGTTTGCGACAATCGCACCCAGCGGCGGTACGAAATCCCAATCAACCGAAACGCAATCAAAGCACTCGAACTTCAAAAGATCATTTCCGTCCAGGCTGATGCCAACTCCGTCAGTTATTGCGGTTTGAAAATCCTGGATCCTGGGTACCTGAATACCGCCTGCGTCGAGTCGAACATTACCTATATCGATGGCGGACATGGATCTATCCATTACCGCGGCTACTCGATTGAATGCCTTTTTGAGAACCACGACTATGAGGAGGTTGTCTTTCTCTTGATCTGGGGTCATCTCCCCGACGCGAATGAGAAGAATACCTTCCGGCGTAAAATTGCTGCCGGCTGCATCCCCCCTCCTCACGTTGTTGAAGTCATTGAGTCTTTTCCTCGAGATTCCTTGACGAGCACAATGATCTTTGCTGGCATGGCCGCCTATGCTAGCCATGACGAAGGTGCCATTGCCACACTCCAGTCCGGACGACCAGCGTTCATGGGCCAGGCTGACAAGGTCGATGAAGCTCTCATCGGCTGCATCTCTGCTCTCGCCACTGTTGTCGCCCTTGTATACTGCCGCAAGCGCAATAAGACCTTCACCCCTGCCGATCCCGAAGAGTCTTTCATCGCCAACATGTTGCGCATGATGGGCTTCCATGAAGACAAACACAGTAACAAGCCTAATCAGGAGATTGTCAAATGCTTCGAGAAGCTCTGGATCCTCTACGCTGACCATGAAATGACCAACTCGACCGCCGCTTTCTTACACGCTGCCTCGACCCTGACAGATCCCCTTGCGTGCTGTATCTCTGGTCTTGTGTCCGGGTATGGCCCGCTTCACGGAGGCGCCATCGAACTAGCCTACAAGGCCTTTGAGGATCTCAAGACCCCGGAAAACGTGTCGTTGCTGATAGCGGACGTCAAGGCCAAGAAGCAGCGTCTCTTCGGGTACGGCCACCGCATCTACAAGGCCGTGGACCCCCGAGCCAAGTTCATCCGCGCCATGATCGACCAGTACAAGGACAGAGTGGAGTCGAATCCTTTGCTTTCCATCGCGATGGAGATTGACCGCGTCGCCAATGCCGACAAGTACTTTACGAGCCGTAACTTGAAGGCTAATGCAGACCTTTACGGGTGTTTCCTGTACACTGCCTTTGGCTTCGAAACCGACATCATCGTGGCCATGGCAAGCTTGTCACGCATGCCTGGGGTGTTGGCGCACTGGCGTGAGGCGATGCTCGAAAAGGGTCCCATGTTATGGAGACCGCAGCAGGTCTTTACCGGTCCGCCACCTAGAGAAGGCAATTCGAACTAGTGTGGAAGAATGTCTAATTTCAGGGAGGACTGGAGGTTGGCCGGGTCATCTTCTTCTTCTAGTCTCACGCAGCGATCTTCGAGGCGACGACGAATGGGAAAGATGCCGGAGGCCTTAGGGCTGCAGGAGACATGGGCGAAGTACCCGGCGAGGATAAGACGCTTGCCCGAACCGGACAACAATGTGGTCAGATGGGGTGGGGTCTTAACTCCGGAGCTCCTCCGTGTGATGGTACCAAATGGGGCGGCTTGTGTGGTCACGGCCTTCTGCTTTCAAAGCGTTTCCTTCATTCATCTTATACTCATGTTGTTTATCATTTGTCATAGCTCGAATCGACTCATTTAGTTGCTTAGAACATTATTGCAATCATACTTTCCAGAAGCTGCAGTTCCATACATCTTCACTACCGCAATGCCGGCTGACTTCGCGTTCGTGACTGTCGGCAGTTCGGGACGGACACAGCCCACAGACCGATCAGTAATTCGTAGTCGATGTATGATCGGTAAGAATCGACAAGAAGGCTCGCGACGATCCAAACAAGCTGCTCGTAAAGTGCAGAGGGCAGCCGCTCAAACTGCGAGCGAGAATGCCGGGCTCCAGTCGCTTCATCATTCGGCTTCCCCTATCAAGCCTTGGCCTTGCACCGCGTATAATGAGAAGCAGCAAGCTGAAGAACATTCTCAGGCTCCGAGCACAGGAGAGGTCGCTCAAGATGATACCTCGGCTTTGATGCCTCCGGTCCCTCATCCGCCACCCAGCGACATGTCTCTGATTCGCTTCGCAGAAGAGTTGGAAAGGCCATCTCAGGAAATACTCTTCAGATGTAAGACATGCCCCTTGGATGCCGCAAATCTCACTTCATCTGACTGGGGTCAGTGGTCAACTTCAATGCTCTTAAGGGCACCTTCTATCCCATTGAGCACTGCGTCGACCTCCCTCGCAGCGCGAATTCTGAAGCACTCTCATTTTCTTGGATTCTCCAGGACAAAATCTTCCTACACAGCGCCTTATTCTACTCATCCGCCGTACATGAACATGTCCAGCGCCGTCAGCCAGGAAGAACGACACAATTTCATCTCAGACGCACAATCAAACTCCTCAATGAGGCGCTTTCTCAGCCAGACTCACATCGTAACGAGGCAATCTTCCACGTCATACTCACTCTAGCCTTAATGGCAGGTCTTTGGGGTGACTTCAGCACCACAGCCGTACACCTATCAGGCTTACGGCAGATCGTGCGACTTCGTGGAGGGCTCAAGTATCTTCGAAGTCATCCGAAGCTACATTTTAAGCTCGATCGGTGAGTGCATGTCATCTGCAAATTTGGGTCGGCTCTGACAACACAGCCTGGCTCTCTCATGGTCTCTTGGCACGGGGGGTACGCCTTGTTTCTTCACTGCCCCTATCAGCTGGAAGTCATACTTTGATGCGCAGTCGGGGACCCCAACTTGCGAGGCTGGGCCCTTCTCTTGCAATGTTGTGAGTGACTGGAGGCTGGCTGTGGTATGGCAAGACCTCAGACACTTGGTGAATCTGATCAACGATCACCTCGCCTGGAATTCGCTGCTTGACGGCTCGCTTTTCCAAGACTCCTTGGGATCGATCCAAATACGACTCGTAAATCTGCAGAACGAAATCGATGACCGTTCAGATGAATGCCTTCGGCTTGGGATGTTGGCCTTTCTGTCAACCACATTGCAAATCCCAGGCGGCAAGTTTCCTTATAACTATCTCACTGAGAGTCTCAGAAACTTATGCGATACTACCGCCAATAAAACAATCGGAGATGAGAACATCCTGTTCTGGCTTTTGATGGTGTGCGCGATCTCAGTCTTCGAGGCCGAGGAGGCTTGGCTGCGGCCTCTGTGGTTGAAATTAGGAGTAGAGCGCTTGTCGTGGGAAAGCGCACGATCTCGGTTGCAGGGCGTCATGTGGATAGACAGATTACAGGGAGAACTCGGCAGCAAAATTTGGGCGAAGCTTGCTTTGATAGAATGGGTGTGAAATATCCTCAATGTTGGTCTGGATGTTGCAGCACCATCATGTTGATTGCTTGGGGCCATTGTTTGGAATTAGTACCTTACCTTACGTAATGGCTGAACGAAACGCAACTCGCTGTTCGGGTGTTATCTTTTCCGATGGGATTCCAGCGGAAAGGAACCTAAGGTAGAAGGCACCTCGGAACCTCTGGCCCCTGCTTGCATTGGACAGTAGTAAGGTAGGCTGGTCAGTGCACCCAACACGCCCAACTGGTGTCGCTGAGCCGGACCGCGACCAAGACACCTCCAGCCTTCGCTCTCCGACTACCCTTCTTACCGAATTTCATCGACAGTCCATAGGTCTCTTTCAACCAAGTAATGGAATTCTGGTATTCATACGGACTTTAATAGAAAGCAGCAATTACAGCCTTCGCACAGGAGTTATCTCTAGCCTTGATCTACTTCGCTCGGCAACAGTGCGATCATCGGGATTTCTCTCCGGGGTATCTCAGCCTCCCATACCCGCATCAGCTTCCATCCTGTACCTTATTCAAAAGAACACATAACATTCGGTTCATTCAAGCTATTCACATTAATCTTGAGGCTCGCCTTTGAACACCGGCAAGATGGCTTCAAAGGATGACAAGGCGTTCAAGTATCGCCAGGAGATCAGCCAGGTGAGTGAAGATACTGTGGATTTTGTTTCTTTTGATCTCGTCCTGCTTTGCCATTCTGGAGGAGCCACAGGCACACGGCAGCTAGCGACCTCAAAACTGGAAGCCCAGTGGAGGGAAACAAGGATTTGACACCTGCCTCCTGGAGTTGACCACAGCCCGTCTCGACACGCGAACCCTCACGCTTGGATGCTCGACTGGCCTTTACGACAGCCTCTGCTCTTTCCAAATATGAGCGCCTCCTATCTTCACGAAGTGGTACCTGCCATCCACCATACTTAGCGTATGGCTAGATGCCATCTTCACCTCCATCACTGGTATCAAAAAAGCTACTTCGAAAACACTCTACTCGGCCCAAGAGAGACATCTACGCCAATGAGGAGCAGGGAGGAGCAATCGTTTGTGAGATGGAGATATCACTTCGATCGAGATGGAGGCGGCTGCCTCATGAGCCAACTCGTCGGATGCCTTGAAATGACTCTCGGCATCTTTGAACAATGCACCAAACCGCTGGCCGATGATAGCAGCGCCGAGTCTGAGACTATTACGAAGAAACCGAAATACCCCAGGCGCTCTAGAGCAAAGGCGGCGGTCGCTGTGCGTGTCCAGCGCCAGAGCATGGAGCTGTTTCAATCCGCCTTCGACCAAGTTCGTGGCATCGTGGTCAACTCCGGCTTTAAGTCCATCCTTGATCTCCCGTATGGAGAAGAGAAGAAGCAAAGGGTCACGCGTCCAGCGCCAAACAAGCCTGCTTTCGTTTTGCCTCAGCGTTTGAATAACCAGGGGCCGTATGGCTGGTCAGACCGTCTTACTAATGTTGCGCGCAAGATGATGTACGTATCTGGCGAGACCGCCGAACCGTCGATTGAGACGACTAGCATGATTGAGGACATTGTGCGCCAGCAAGTTATTGAGCTGGTAAGTTGTGCAAGCGTCATACGTCTCTACATTGCTCATAAATCGCTAGCTTCGAAACTGCACTGAGCTTGCGGCTCGCCGCGGCGCCCGAGCCATCACGATTAATGACCTGATCTTCCAAATCCGCCACGATCAAGCTAAAGTTTCTCGTCTGCGTACGTTCCTCTCATGGAAAGATGTCCGGAAGAACGTCAAGGATTCCGACGACAAGGGAGGTGAAGCGGACCTGGGAGCTGGTGAAGATCCCAGCGGTGGCGTGGTCCCTGGTGGCCCGGTCGACGACGCTACTAAGAAGAACAAAAAGGCCAAGGTCGGCCTGCCCTGGGAACCGTCCTCATTCTACAGCCAGGAAGTCCCTGAGCGTGACGACGAGGAGGATGAAGAAGAGGAGGAGATGAACTTCATTACCCTTCAACGTCTTCGCAAGGCCGACGAGCGCACAAAAGCCATGACGAAGGAGGAGTATGTGACATGGTCCGAATACCGTCAAGCTTCGTTCACGTACCGCAAGGGCAAAAGATTTCGAGAATGGGCTGGATTTGGTATTGTCACAGACAGCAAACCTTCTGACGATATCGTTGATATCTTGGGTTTCTTGACCTTCGAGATGGTCCAGACCCTGACTGAGCACGCGCTCAAGGTCAAGGAGCAAGAGGATCTATTCAAGGCACAGAGCGGCGGTGAAAATGCAGGATCAAAGAAGCGCAAGGTGGCCACCGGCCTGTTCGACCCGCCGAGCGAGGGAAGAAGTCCCATTGAGCCTCGTCACGTTCAGGAAGCCTTCAGGCGCCTTCAGCAGCGACCCAAGAAAACTCGAGCCATGCTCAACGGAACCAGGCTTCCACAGCATACCGCGCTCAATATTGTACGTTTGCTCTCAATTAAGCAGAGTAACGCTAATCTTCTTCTAGTTCTGAAACACTTTCCTCGATCGCATGCCGGCTGCTGGTTCCATGTCTTCTTTCAACGGTTGTGTCGACTTCACCCTAACTTCTCCTTAGGAACAATGCAACGATACCCACGGGTGGACAGGTGGACTTGGCGTTCTGTTTTCCCGTTATTTTGATATTTCTTGTTGGCGTTACAGGCAAGGTTTACGTCAGATGATTAGTCACCTTGATAGCTCGACGAAGACACCCATTTGACGAGTGCAGTTCTTCTCCCGCTCAGCAACTGCTCTGTGACCTGTGGCCTTGGCAAGAAATCGCGATCACATTTTCCATGAACTGTTCACAGCGAGAAATTGGACCTAGTTTGATGAGATACAAAAGTGGCGAGGACTGGTTTGTACGTCAGGTGTAAGTTACCTTACGCAGTGACTCTGGGCCTAGGTATATATGGCCCTTACTACGGAGTAGATCCACCCGCTTTCGAACACCCCCTGGTCCCTCCCACTTGGGCACGAACAAGTACCCCGCAGTGAGGCGCAAGCTCCAGCCATCCCACCAACCTGTGCCGATTAGATAAGGCAGACTGACCCCTTCCGGACTTGCCCACTCTCCTGCTTCAATTCTGTTGCCTTGTGTCTTGTTACTCTAGTTAACTCTCCATATTTGAGGTGGAATCTGTCCCATTTGACTCGAGCCTTGTGGCATTTCCCTCTCTCAAATCTCAACAGAAAATTCACCAAGATGCCTCCTCAGCCATCAGTCGTTGTGAGTCGCGCATCCTTGACATGCCCCGCTGACACTTATGACGACATGGCTTTGCTAACCGCGCCATTCCCATCTCCAATAGACGAAGCTCAAGGTCCAGCTCAAGCTGGCCATCGCACGGCTACGCATGGTCCAGCAGCGCGATGACTCCATGGGCAAGACACAAAGACGCGCGATGGCGCAGCTCCTCGAGGTGGGCAAAATCGACTCTGCGCGCATTCGCGTCGAGAATATCATCCGATCCGACATCACGACCGAGCTACACGAGATACTAGAGCTGTACTGCGAACTACTGATCGCCCGCGCGGGGCTACTCGAGGGTTCAGTCTGTGATCCGGGACTGGAGGAGGCGGTCAAAAGCATCATCTACGCCGCGCCGAAGACGGAGATCAAGGAGCTGCAGGTGGTGCGAACGCTATTGGCGGAGAAGTACGGCAAGGAGTTTGTTCTTGCGGCGATGGATAACTCAGATGGCAAGGTGTCGGACAAGGTTGTCAAGAAGCTGAGCGTCACACCGCCGCGGGAAGAGCTCGTACAAGGGTACTTGGAGGAAATTGCCAAGGCGTACAATGTGGACTGGCCGAAGCGACCTCTGGCAGACGAGCCGCCGGATCTTCTGGACGATGACGACGACGATAGCCCAAGTGGTGGGATTGGCGTGAGAATACCGGAGGGTCCGTTGGGAAACAGCTCCAAAGTGGCCAAGGAACAGGAGGAGCTAAGCAAGGCGACACCGCCGAGGACGATTGGAGGTCCCAGTAGCCCTTTGACTGTCACACCGCCGAGGATGACAACAGATAACGTCCATCCCAAAGTTACGCTCAACTCACTGGAGCTGAAGCCTAACAAAAAGATGGACGCAGCGGCGCAGAAGAAGCCAGCTGGAAAGGGGCCAGGAGGCAACGTACCCGACATTACGGAGCTGGAGAGGAGATTTCAAGCTTTGAAGCGATGAGCCTGATGCGTCTCATATTTTGGCCAAGGATCAGGTATCGGGGTTAATTTGATGCGAGAACATTTGGAGGGTATTTGAGGGCTTGTATGCTTCTTGTTCAAAGGTCTAGGCATGGCGCGGAATGAATTCATATTGCAGGCGTTCTGCATTGGCATAATCTTTATCCCTCGATAGAATGAGGTTTGTTTTGCGACGTGTTGTAAGTCTAAGTGCAGGTCCCGTCATCATCGCTCCTGAGGTACATCCAATGAATGGGCAACGGCAGTCTACCGATTTTGATGTTGATACATACGGTAGGCAAGCAACAAGAGGGGATCGTGTCCCGAAGAAGAGCTTCCAGCATCTACTTAAACGGTTCATGTAGGGGGGAAAGGAGCGTAGCAATTACCTCGCCAGGGTCAAGAACGAATTTGAAGGAAGGCGGTCTTGACTGTACCTAGACAGTCCATCAAATTGGAGAAGGCTCGATCCGTGTCCTTGGAGGCCTTCTTCACTGAGCATATCTGCCTTGTCTACTAACCCCTATCCTGTCATTATCTCGTACCGGGGCCTGCTCCGAACGAGCCTTCCGTTCACAACAACTAATGGATTCAGTCATCGACCACCCCTAAGTCCACTATATTGACGATATTCTCAACACATTTCAGAGCAATGCGGCTCCCGAATGAGCTTTTTTTCCCCAATCTCATCACGGTCTTTTGCTACTCCGTTCAAAGTCCACTTCTTCCACAGCAGGCCTTGCTCTGTGCACTGCTTTCCGACCTAGTCTTTTTCCATATCCAGTCAATTTTTAGCTTCGGAAGGAGCCACGAGAATCCCAAGAGGAGCAAGGAACTTCGCAGCAACCCCACCTCTGAAAGGCCAAATTTCTATCTCGACCTTTGGCCAAGAATTTCCCAACACTTCCACAGCGGACAAAGATGACGAATCTAAAGCTCCTCATCTTTGGGATGCACCCTCGAGAGTTCTACAGCCTGAACCAGAGAGATATCGAGTGGGAATTGACTCACCGACACTCAAAGGACATTGATGACGAGACACTTCTGGAACTTTACACGAAGTGGCTTGCCAGGCAGACTCCTTTTCTGGGCCTTACAGATCACACAGCCTCTTCCAGGGTCATTCGAGATGCCTGCGACTACCTCAGCTCTAGGAAGTACGAAAAGCATCTTGTGCTCAGCGCCTTCAACCAGCACAAAAAAGACTTCCTCAGAGACCGACCTCAGGATAAGCGGACCTTCAACCTTGCCAGACGGGACATCGAAATCAACTACAAATTGCGTGGTGTCCACCACAAGGTGAAGAAGTCATCTGCCACAAAAGAGGCAGCCTTGGCCGCGCGCCTGCCATATACATCCCTACCTGCTGGACTTTACACCCAAGCGAGCGAGCCAGTCCCCGAAGTTCGGAAATCGGGAAACATACGCCCTGACGCTGAAGATTCCCGTCCCAGTCGTCGGCGGAAGCTCATTGACCGATCGCCTGAGACTTTGTCTTTGAACCAGCAGAAGCCTCATGCTGGCTACGTATGCAATCGCTGCGGAATATCAGGTAGCTGACAATGAAGCCAAGAAGAATGTCGTCGGAAAACTAACGAGGGACTTGCCAATACAGGTCACTTCATTCAGCACTGCCCCTCGACCAAGCCTCTTCTTCATAAGAAGTACGTCTGCCACATCTGCGGAGAGTGTAGAGATCACCTTATCCAAGATTGTCCTCAGAAGAGGGCCAACACTTCCACTGCTTCCCTCCGACAACGGTCTCGGAACACGGCGATATCGAGCGAAGACCTGAGACAGAGCTCATCGAGAAAGCGCAGTCACTCCAGATCTGTCAGCCAAAGTTCCAGCATCAATGGACGCTATATGAATGAGGAGCGAGCCCGACTTTTGCAATCTAGCCCTGACAGCGACCAAGACGAATCACCGAACTTCCAAGAATTCAGTGTAGGTCCTCGTCAGTCTGGAAGCAACTCTCAACCACTCGGACATCGACTTCGTTCGGACTTTTATCGCCCTATCGACTTGAACCTTGCGGATGATAGTAACCGTCCCGAGAGACCACGTCAACGCGTTGACACTTATCGCCCCAACGACACTCGTCAATTCCTCGATACGTACCGTCCTGATCCTTCCAGCCGTCTTGACGATACGTTCCGCTCTGATGAGCATTCTCATCTCAATCTTGCCTATCGTCCTAAGGAATCGGAGAGAACTGGTGCCTTGGGCCTGAAAAAAGCCATAGAGCAGAGTCTAGATAGAGAATTTGACGAGGAAGAGGCGAAGCTTCGATCCCGCCTGACCAAACGGCACACTGACGGCAGACTCTCTCCTTGGGACGATATCGAACGACCGGCGAAGAGACAGCGGCACGAACACCCCTTTGCTGGCGGTCTCCCTTGGGACGACGTTGAGATGCCTCCCAAAGAGAAACACCAATCTGCTCTCGTGGGCCAAACTATGCAGAGCCTTGGAACTGCCAAGAAAGACTTGGACGTCGGCACAGAAACGAAGCCAGCTGGCGCATCCGAGAGTATTCCCATGGACAAAGGCGGAGCTTTAGACTCAGCCGAAGATATGGAGCCTGGAAGAGTAACTGACTCGCTGTGGAAGCAAGCAAGCATGGAGTCGGACGAATTTTTCGCGGCGTTGGGAAGAGAGCTTTTCTTCCGAGCGCAGCCAGGTGCCTTCGAGATCATGCCTATCACTCAGTCGAACGATGGAAGTATGGTCATGCAGTCCGCTTCTCCGCCGTCTGCGACTTTCCAGGAAGAAAGTATCATGCCCAGAAACCTCGATTCTGATGATTACTACAATGGCAACACCGACAACGACGATGCTTCCATGGAAGATGCCCCTGACGAGATGGGTCAGGCTCCAAGCACCCCCATCGAGGTGAACCATGGCTCATCTCATGCGGAGGAGGTTATTATCCCTTTACAAACCTTGAAGCCTCTTCATAGAGGTTCTCCGTACGATCCTCACGTCTTGGCTCTGTTCCGAAGCAGGCGGCACGAGAACGTTTACGTCAATATTGCTCGCCGACGCACCGCTATTGAGATTGATGAGGCTTGGGAGCCGGAGGAGGAACACTCGGCCACCTCGAAAATAGATGAGTAGCCTTGCATTCGATGGCTGCTCAGCTGGTTCCAGTTCGTCCCGGTCTGGCTATTATCGGCCAGATACTTCGATTCTGAACCCGGCACCAATTTGCGTACCTTTAACATTCTTATCTGTTTTTCGTCGACTTTGGAGCTGCGGATCTACCATTTGCCAAGACACCTTGGCTCATGATAAGAAGCCAGCTCTTCCACCTCTTTACCATTCGCGAGGTCAGCTCGTGTTTTCCGAGCTCGGCCGTCGGCTTTTTCTTCTTTTCTTTCCCATGCGTCTGGATTGCGTTCCATAACTTGGGCAAAAGTTTGCCTCTGAAGCCTCGCCCGAGTTATGTTTCCTCGGGACTGGGGACCAGAGGGCTTTTCTTTGGGCCTTTGGGTGGTTCCGTGGTATTTTACATTTGGGCGTTCGGATGGATGTGCAACCAGGCCACATTTGCCGACGGGGTTATCTATCTAAGGTGCCGAAGGTGTATCTAGGATGCTCCCAAGCATCTAGTCACATCATCTCCTCCAAGATTTGCCCAGCAGGGTTCTTCAAGGACAGCTGGGTCGAGATTCGTGAGAGAGAAGATGATGCACCGTTTTGATGATTTCAGTAGGGGAGGTTGTCCCTGAAATTCCTTACATAGTATTTATTCCCACGAAATCAAAAGTTTGCCAATTGACATTGCAGCCAGTCGCGTAGGTATCGCTCTTGACGAAACTCCAGACTCCGGCCAACCCATACGCCCATATATGACAGTGCAGAAGTCCGCCAGTCTCCAAATGTGATTAAGCCTCAGACTGAGAGTAGCGTGACCCAATCCAGTCTTCTACAACACCGTACCGTGCCGGCAATCCCACCTCCCCTCCCTTCCCCAACAACACCAACACACAGCCAGACTTCCCTTTATTCCAATTTATCCAAGTGTTCTAACCTCGTCAACACGACCTGCTTGCTCGTCTCCTCGATCTCGCCGGCCAAGAACACCTCGTCGAGGATGGCGTAGACCTTGTAGAAGTTGAAGACGAGGTCGAGCTCGCAGACGTTGCCGAAGAAGGCGTCGAGGACCTCGACGAAGAAGTGGATGGCCTCGAGGAAGGCGAGCTCATTGTCGTTTGTGTCGACGCAGGCGCAGAAGAAGAGCCCTGCATAGCGGCGGTAGACGATCTTGTTGTTGCGGAACTCGACGAAGTTGGATTGGTATTTCTGGTCTCGGGGGGCGACGAGGCGGTGGACCTGTTTATGCGGGGGAAGGTTGTTAGGATATGTGTGATACGGAATGGTCGGTCTGATTGGGATTGGGCGGATGTCGTACCTCGCCCTTCATCTTGATCTTTTCATCGTCGCTGTAGGGTGCGTACCACTTCGCGAGACGGGTCTTGCCCCTGGATGGCGCGAAAGGGGGGAATATGTCAGCGAGAGACCCTTTTATTACACGTTCCGCATTGGAATTGACTGGACATACTGGCGATTCTGGATCAGGATGAATGAGAGCATTTTGGCGACGTCGGCGATATTCGCATGTCGGACTCGTGGATCACTTCAGATCCCCGCGCGCGTGCTTCAAGTTTCGAGAGGTTGAAGTCGGCGGCCACGGAGCTTCGGGTGTGGGTACGTACCGGGGGGTACGGGCGGGTGCTGACAGCTTTCAATCCATCAGCGGACAGTGGTTTCCCCTTCCCCTGAACGACCTAACGGGTCCGAGTGGGGACTGGGGCGTCGAGATGGGAAGGTGTGGCACGGGCAGTGTGGCACCGCGATGTGAGGACTACATCGCCCTCCTCCTCGCATTTTTGCTGCTCGAATGGCGAATTTACCACAACCTACCGTTAATAAGATAACTTATGGGGGAAAGGCGAAGATGTATCAGCTTTCAAAATCTGCAGTCTACGTCATTCTGAGTCTTTGGAAAAAGACGTTATTTGGGTAAAGTATCTGTTAACCTATCAAGGTCAGTTCTGCTCAGGGCGATGTAATCCTCACACCTTGCGTAGTCTATCTAGAGCAGGCAGGCAACTGAGGCCAAAAGTAAGGTTCCTTCCTAGCTAGTGCAACTTACTTTACCTTGATGGAAAGCCAAACGCAGTCTCTCTACCCGGCCTTGTGGACTTGAAGTGACAGAAACCTATATAAACCCCCTTTACCACGCCCATCTTTCAAATCTCTTTTTCTTTCCTTTCTTCTTCATCCGAGTGCAAGGGCATTTCGCGTATCCATGAGGATCAGTCCTAGATCACGTTTTTGATAGTTGAAAACTATCTTCATAGTTTGGCTTGTGTCCTAGTTGACCTAGGTCAGCTGGGGAATCTTTGGAACCTACCTTTCTCTATTGAGAATTTGCTTGCGGCCCCTTGTTTGGGTCGTGGTGAAGAAGGCTTTTTGTGTGTGGTGCTGGATTGATGGCTATCTACCTTGGACATAAAGTGCGGATGGCTTGGTCGCTTGTCGTTGGGTACCTTGGAACGGTGTTTTGTGATGCTGTCGGCGTCTGGTTGTGATTTCCAGATTGATGTGTCGTTGACCTTTAATCTCAACTACGCTGCAAGCATGTCTCTATCTTTCTATGATACCTTATAGATAAAATTTGAGAATAAAGACTGACCTAGATATCCGTAAACTGTGAGCATCGCAAGTGACATGTCCATTCTCTCATTGCAATTCATTCTTTCTATCGATTCAGAGTGAGCTGATCTGGGCATCGATACTCTTCGCCGTCCTTCTCGCCTGTCTGGTTGATGTTGTTGATATCGATCTTGGCCTGCCGCTCCCACCGCAGCCATTGATCAAGACCCCCCTCGACAATACGGGGGTAAAAGAAAGCTGTCGAATGTTGGCGACCATATCAATACTGAGACTCTATGCAGTGCTTGGCGTTAGTCCTCGCTCCTGTCCATTTGCATGAACATAGACCATCACTATCAGGATGTCATTTGCCGAACATTGCCCAGATAATCAGTTTCAGGAGTGTATTTGGAGAATATTAGTTGGAGCCATCAAACTTAGCATGGGAATGTCCAGTCGTGGATGCGAATAGGGTATCATTTCTGCTGTTCCATGGATCGGTGATCTCCTGCATCTATACAGAGAAGCCATGTTTCCCCAAAAGCGCTTTCAAGCTCGCTATTTGAGATAGCCCCGCAACGATTGCTTCATTTCAACCCTTCACCCACCCAGGCACAAAATTCAAATCCAGATCCTCCTCGTACTGCCTCTCCCGAATAGCCGTCCACGGCGTCGGCCACCCAGCCAATACGGGACTCTTCTTCGTGGCACCCATGACGGCGAACCTCCCCTGCGAGTGCGCAATGAAGCCGTGCATGAAGCCGAGCTGTATCAGCACCGAGACGTTCATCTCCACGTCGTCCATCTCCACGGGGGAGTTACCCCAGACCAGTCCCTCGTTGGGGCGCAGCTTCTTGGGCCCGCCAGGCGGCGGGACGAGCGTCGAGGCCGCGTCGTGGCTTACTGCTTTGAGGAAAGCGGGGGACGCTGTCGACGGTGCGAAGGAGGAGGGCGACTTGGAGGGGATGTAGCCTTCGAGGCGGTGTTGGAGGTACTGGGACGTCGCGTGGAGGTCCGCAAGGTCCATTGTTGCGGCGCGTCGGTTTGTGTTGGAGGGGTTTGCGTCGTCTTGGCCCGGAGCGTAGGTGAGGAGGAATGTTCTGCGGGAGAGGGAGCGCCAGAGTAGAGGTCTGAGGCGATGAGTGAGGACAAGGAGGAGGCCCTTATCAAAGAGATATTTCTCGTGCTGTGCCAGCGTCTGTTGGAAGAGGACAAAGTCTCCCTTGCGGATCGCTTGAATCAGTGGTTGGTAGACTGGTACGAGGGCTGATGCCTCAGGGCGAGAGAGCAGGAGCTGGGAGGGTAGACGGCCCAGCAAGAAATTGCAAGGGACGAGGTAGCTGAGGACCAGGGCGCGATGAGATGTGAGGGGTGGTGGGATCTGAAGGTAGGCCTCTTCGAGACAGAGCGCCGCGCGGAGGAAGTGACAGTTTGCGAGGTTGAAGCGGCCTAGGTAGTAGAGGAAGTTGACGCGCTGTGATGCCGGATAGAACGATAATGGCGGCGAGTTTGTGGAGATATTTGTGAATATTTGTTTCGCAAGATGCGTTCTCCGACACTGTAGGCATCCATCAGTTAACGCGCTCGGAGTTTTGGGAAAGGAAATTGAAGACACACGGCGAAGAGGAGCTTTAGCACTAGGTTGGCGAACATGTAAACGCCAACCTTCTTGCCTTCCGGCTTGCTGTACCGCGCGCTAGAACGGTCCGTAAGGCAAGTGGTGAAGATCTTTTGAATGATCTCAGCCGAGGATTCGGCAATGGACTTGCGGTCGTCGGCGTCGACGTTACGGATGTTGCGCGTAAGATCCGGACGCTTTGACAACATCATTGTCAGGCGCGACAGGGACTCGCAGAGGGAAATTGCCGTCTTTAGTAGCATACCTCCATAGGTAGGGTGGGCAAAGGCGGTACTACAGGAGCTGTGTGGGTGTTAGCCGATTGCTGCTTTGATTATGAAAGGCGCGGTTGAGGACCATGAGATCTGCTTCAACAGAGCTGATGAGGAGTTCTCATCGGTGACTTACTTTACCAGCCCACTGAGCAACGTGTGCGCACCCAAAAGGTCATCATAGTCGACGTCGCGCCAGAAGACCATGTAGTCCTTCATAAAAGTCACAAAGCCGGGCCACGGTGAGCCCTGGCCCTCGGGCACGTCGTCCTCTTCGGGGAGGCATTTCTCTATCGTGCTCTCGAGCGCTGTGCTGCTTGTCCCGTTGGAGCCATGCCGTGATGAGCGGAACTGCGTCCGCAGCTCATTGGCGAGGGCGTGATATTGTTGGTTTGCATTGGGCTCGACGAGGAGCCAATTCCGGAGCTCGTCGATGTTTTGAGCACGGACGAATGTGCGGATCTGGCTGAGGAACTGAATTAACAGGGACATCGTTAGCATGGAATTGAAAAGCGCCAAAATTGATGCCTCATTCGGGGAGCGAGGCGAGGCCGCGAATCGTGAAAGAAGAGGTGAGGAATCCTTGCGGGTTGTGGTGAAGGTGGAAGTCCAAGGTGAGAGAGCTCGAGCCAGACAAGGTGAAGTGAGTAGAGGTGGATTCTTCGGTGTACGGGGAACAAGGGTACGTGCTCGGTGAGTGGAGCCGTACATGGAGCTGGTCGGTCGTCACTTTTCCTGGGTAGCTTCAACATACTTTGTCAAGAGTAACATTTACGAATGATCTGCGTCAAGTTTTTAACATGATATATCGCATTTCCAAAAGCATCCGAGCACAGTCTGCTTTTCCATTTGAATTCCAATTTTTCACAATTTACGCCCTCTCATATAACGCGCCGAATCCGCTTTGATCATCCTAACCTGGGCGGTAGGTAGCTTCTAAGTCGCGCATGAAGCTAAGCATCTTGTGCATGCCACTTCCCTTTTTCACCCGGCCTAGACGCTGCCGGGAAGCCTACCCGCGACGATGGACACATGGCCAATTACACCGACTCGACACGCTGCACGACGATCGCCGTGGCCGCGCCGCCTCCGTTGCAGATGGCTGCAACACCATACTCGCCAGGCTTCAGCTGGTGCAGCAGAGTGACGATAATTCGTGATCCGGAGCTACCCAGGGCGTGGCCGAGGGAGATCGCTCCGCCGAGAGGGTTAACCCGAGCACCCTCCAATCCGAGAATCTACCCAATGGCTGTTAGTCACGTTTCATTGATTGACTGATTGTGGACGCTTATCATACCTTTTCGTTTGCCTTAATGACAGCGGCAAAAGCTTCGTTAAACTCCCATACGGCGACTTGGTCTTTGGTGATACCCGCTCTCTCAAGTGCGATGGGTACCGCCTTGGCTGGAGCGATGGGGAAGTCGATAGGATCAACCGCGGCGTCGGCCGAGCCGCAGATCTTTGCCAGCACTCGAGAACCGGAACCGTATTTTTGCGCAATCTCCTTGCTGCCCAAAACAAGTGCACTGGCACCGTCGTTCAACGTGGAGGAGTTGGCAGCAGTGACAGTGCCGGTGCCGTCGCGCACAAAGGCCGGTTTCAGGGTAGGCACCCTGTCGAACTTGACGTCGAGGTATCCCTCATCAGACTCAATAACTGTGTCGCCCTTCCTTCCGCGAACAGTAACAGGAGCGATCTCCTCGGCAAAGGCGTTGGCTTTCCACGCAGCCTGAGCGCGCTTGTAGGACTCGATAGCGTACTCGTCTTGCATCTCGCGAGAAATCTCGTACTTCTTAGCCGTGTTCTCGGCGCAGTTGCCCATGTGGAATTTGTCGTAGACGTCAGTCAACCCGTCCTTGATCAGGCCGTCCTCCATCTGGACATGCCCGAATGGCGGCAGGCTAGAAGCGCGGGGCACGTAATAAGGCACCCTCGTCATGTTCTCCATGCCACCAGCAACCTGCGCCTCCGACAGACCGAGCTGGATGTTTTGTGCGGCAAAAACAACGGCTTTCATGCCGGATGCGCAGACCTTGTTGATGGTGATCGCTTCCACACTAGACGGGAGACCGGCAAAGATCAGAGCCTGGCGAGCCGGCGCCTGCCCAACGGATCCTTGTAGGACATTACCCATGTACACGTCGGTGATCTTGTCGACGGGGACTTTGGACTTTTCGATTGCGGACTTGATGGCGACGGCGCCCAGCTGCGGCGCAGTTACACTCGTGAATGAGCCATTGAACTGTCGGCCGTGTTAGTTATGAAAGCTTTGCAGAAGCTTACTGAACCGTTTGTTTTTGCCTTTGCTGTCGGTGTTCTCGAGGCACTAATAATGTATGCGTCCCGAATCTCTTGCCGAAGCGCAGCTCGCGTGGAGAACTGACGGGAAGCCGCTTGCCTAGCCAATTGGCTAGGAAGCCTCGATGATTGTCTGATAAACATGGTGGAATATACAAATGGTATCCGATATTTCGCAGCAAAATAGCACAAAGTGATGGCGACTTGAGACGATCTTGCAGAGGGAAAAGGGAGCAAGAAGAAAAAGATAGGAAGGTGGCTTGACAGTTTACTTCGAGAGGGATGAAGCGAGCATGTGGAAGGCGCGGGATGACAATACCCCAGGTTCTGCGGTCTTCCTCGGCTTAAGAGGGGGGTGCCTGAGAGGTACAAGGGCGGGGCCGAGCTTCTGAGTGAGGAGTGAGGTCACTTCCCAAGTTTCCCCCAGGTCCTTGGGGGAACCGATCCCCCACCCCGGACCGTGGAAGTAGGGCCAATTCCGCTCGGAAAGCTCGTCGGGCCAAAGGGGTGGAACCGGTTCCGGCTGCTGCTGCACCGATGCCACTCTTTGCCTGCATTTTGGATGTCATTTTCCCCCGGAATTTCGCGGCATACGGATGATCACCGTTATGGCAGCAGTCCTGCAGCGCAACCATAAATATTGAACAAGCCCACCTTCAAACAAGGTCTTAGTCTGCGCATGCGGAAGAAAAGCTACACCCCGCCAGTATGCGAGTTGATGTATTTGAGTATCTTTCTATATGCTGCCTCTTAAGGTAAGTTAGGTGCGACTCTCGCCGGAATGACAAAATAGCAAGCGATATGCATGAATCAAACCCATTCAAGTGTCTGTCAGAAGCACCTCAGTTGAATAGTCCAGTTTGCGGCCCAGACGGTGTCATGAAGAGACGGGAGGTTTGAGTCGTCACTTCCGCAGGCGTTTGGTACCTATATTATTGGAGGCTCTTGAGTGTCATTCTGTTATCGGGCGATTCGCGCTTAAAATCGCCCAATATGATTGGACCAAATGTAAGACCCACTCACTGGCCCAAGCGGAAGGCGGTGGTGAAGGCGAGTGCTTCCCGCGCCATTCTTTTGGACTCTCGCCCGTGATCCATACGACTATCCTACAACTTTCTCCATCACACATCGTAAGTGACGGAGATCTCCAGAATTTTCAGCATTCTCGATATCCAGCGAGGATATATACGCCGATTCCCCACGCTTTGAACCGACCGCCCGGTTCTCGTCCGTCCCTCCTCGACGGCAGTTGCGATCCTCTGACCCCTCAGTCTTGGTAATCAGTCACCGACCGCCACCATGTCTACCGCCGCCCGCCGTCGCTTGATGCGCGACTTCAAAGTAAGCTACGATGCTCAGAATGCCATTATCTTTTGTTTGATCCTAACGCAATGAGTAGCGTATGCAGACTGATCCTCCCGCTGGCGTTTCTGCCTCGCCCGTCCCCGACAACGTCATGACCTGGTATGCTCGACCAAACCCCGAGTTTCCCGAATGTGCCAACGGCGACTGACAAGGCATGCTTTAGGAACGCCGTGATTATTGGTCCCGCCGATACTCCATTCGAAGACGGTACCTTCAGACTCGTTATGCAGTTCGAGGAGCAATACCCCAACAAGCCACCTGCGGTCAAGTTCATCAGCCAGATGTTCCACCCGAACGTCTACGCTACTGGAGAGCTTTGCTTGGATATCCTGCAGAACCGCTGGAGTCCCACGTATGATGTCGCGGCTGTGTTGACGAGCATTCAGAGGTGAGAGATGTCCTACTCGAGAGATCTCGGGTGCCACTCTACAAGCTCCGGAGCTAATGTTTGGCTAACTCGGATCATTAGTTTGCTTAACGACCCAAACACGGGCTCCCCGGCGAACGTTGAAGCGTCGAACCTCTACAAGGACAACCGGAAGGAGTACACGAAGCGGGTTCGTGAGACTGTCGAGAAGAGCTGGGACGATTAAATCGACATGATTATCACGACACATACACACGACAGTTATGAACAAGAATGTCCGCGCCTTACTTCAGCAGGGTATGGCTCGTGTAGGAATAAGCTGCTGGGCTGTGAGGGGATGCTAGAGGGCCGAACGAGGGGCAGATTGACATGAGCTACACCCAGGGCTGACCAGACAGATGTCTTGATCTTCTTCGCATTAAGCAACTGGGGTACCCGATGAGGTGGGAGTGGGGGGATTTGGCGTTTCGGCTCGTGCTGTCCTCTCTAAGTGGCTTTTGGGGCGACCCCATGTTGCGATAGGCGTTTCGTGGACGTGCTTTGCTTTTCCTATCCGTTGAGTCACCCGTCGTCGGTGACGTTAGGTTCGTCTTCATCTGGCTTTACAGGGGAGTTCGTGGGAAGTGCATTTGGGACCTCATGAGTAGCGAAATACCAAATCTGTTGAACAACATGCGGCCCGTAGTTGTTTATTATGAATTCACAGGCGAAAGCGGAGCAGTCCACCATAACAAGACTCGCACAAAAGGCCAACCCCCAACTCTCAGTCCACTTGGTCAACCGTGCAAAGTGCAAACTCTCGTCAGCAAATCTCTGTCGCGTGCTCGGCCGGACGTTCCTCTAATTAGTGTGCAATGCGCCGGGCCATCTGTAGTACCAACATGCCTGCCAGTCATGGTCAGTGTGCAAGTGCAGCCAGTCCCGTTGGGCACTGCATGGGCGATGCGTTCTGCTGTATCCGTCCATTCCAGCAGTAGAACAGGGGACTTTACCCATCTGGGACGGGGACCCCTCGGCTGTGCTTTGGGAAAGACGACGAGGTGGGGATGAAACGACCAGCGTGAAATGACAATGGCAGGATGGGATTGGTTTGTTTTTGGGCCTGAATACCTTACCTCACCTTAGCAGTGACTTGTGACTTTCCATGGGAACTGAAGGAACTGTGGGAAGGTACCCGTGGACCTTACTTCCCCCCCTCTGCACCTGCATTCTGTGCTTTGTCTTGCTGCCATCAAATAATTCTACGCGATTTCTAGCGCGTCCCGTCATTTGCATCTCAACCCCCCAAGAGCCCCCCAAAACCCGTTTCCCAAACAATACAACCCACATCTCCCTCCTCTCTCGCTTTCTGACCGACTGCCTTTCTGGCTGCTACTGCTGCTGGTTTGTGCTGTCGCTGTTCCTTTCTCCTTGCATCATCGCCCTGCAACACCTGCGATATGTCATTCTAGCAGCCTTTCCACATCCGCACACCGTCATTTCATCCCACCCGCCTTGTTTGTGTGTGTCCTTTCAACACAACCCCCCGTTGCCGAGCTGCGGCCGCCGAGTGCCTCGCAACCACAAACCCCCTATCTCGCAGCATCTTGTCCCGATCGCAACCTCACGACCCCGGCTTCGACCTCGCTTGGTCTGAAAACCCATCACTATGTCTGGCGCAAACAACAGTATCAAGGTCGTCGCCCGATTCCGTCCACAGAACAAAGTGGAACTGGCGTCGGGCGGCCAGCCCATTGTCTCCTTCAGCAGCGAGGAAACATGTACTCTCGACGTAAGTGCCTCTCTATTCGGTGCTTGATATCGCGCGTGCGGGCACTCAGTTGACAAATATAATTCTCTAGTCCAAGGAGGCCCAAGGCTCCTTCACCTTCGACCGTGTCTTCGACATGGAGTGTAAGCAGTCCGATATTTTCGACTTTTCCATCCGATCGACCGTCGATGATATTCTCAATGGTTACAACGGAACCGTCTTTGCCTATGGTCAGACGGGTGCCGGAAAGTCCTACACCATGATGGGTTCCAGCATCGACGACGAGGAGGGGCGAGGTATTATCCCCCGTATCGTCGAACAAATCTTCGCCAGTATCATGTCTAGTCCCAGCACTATCGAGTACACGGTTCGAGTCAGTTATATGGAAATCTACATGGAGAGGATTCGCGATTTGCTTGCGCCTCAAAACGACAACCTTCCCGTCCACGAAGAAAAGAATCGCGGTGTCTACGTCAAGGGCCTTCTCGAGGTCTATGTCTCCAGCGTCCAGGAAGTCTACGAGGTTATGAGAAGAGGTGGAAACGCCCGAGCCGTTTCTGCAACCAACATGAACCAGGAATCTTCCCGCTCTCATTCCATCTTCGTCGTCACCATTACCCAAAAGAATGTCGAGACCGGATCGGCAAAGAGTGGTCAGCTTTTCCTGGTCGATTTGGCCGGTAGCGAAAAGGTTGGAAAGACCGGCGCCAGTGGTCAGACGCTGGAGGAAGCAAAGAAGATCAATAAGAGTTTGAGTGCTCTCGGAATGGTCATCAACGCCTTGACCGACGGCAGATCATCCCACGTCCCCTACCGCGATTCCAAGTTGACCCGTATCCTCCAAGAATCTCTGGGAGGTAACAGTCGGACAACACTCATCATTAATTGCTCTCCCAGTAGTTACAACGACGCTGAAACCCTTGGCACCCTCCGATTCGGTACTCGTGCAAAGGCAATCAAGAACAAGGCCAAGATCAACGCCGAGCTCAGTCCCTCCGAACTCAAGGCACTGCTCGGCAAGGCCAGAGGCCAAATTTCGACTTTCGAAACGTATCTCTCAAATTTGGAAGGCGAAGTTCAGCTCTGGCGTGCCGGAGAGGCCGTTCCTAAGGACAGATGGGTGGCCCCCTTGTCCGCAGATGGCGTAGCTGGGACTAAAGCCGAAGCAAAGGCGCCTCGTCCTTCAACACCATCCCGCCTCCTACCCGACAGCAGATCCGAGACCCCAGCCATCTCCGAGCGGTCAGGAACACCAAGCTTACCACTCGACAAGGATGAGCGCGACGAGTTCCTGCGCCGGGAGAACGAGCTCCAGGACCAGATTGCCGAGAAGGAGTCTCAGTACAACGCAGCAGAAAAGACTCTTCGGGAGACCAAGGAGGAGCTTGCCTACCTCAAGGAGCACGATGCGAAGACTGGGAAGGAAAATGAGAAGCTGAACGGGGAGGTGAACGAGGTCAAGATGCAGATTGAGCGACTTACCTTTGAGGGCAAGGAGGCGCAGATCACCATGGATGCGCTCAAGGAGCAAAACGCCGAGCTGACTGCGGAGCTGGACGAGGTCAAGCAGCAGCTTCTGGACGTGAAGATGAGCGCCAAGGAAACAAGTGCCGTCCTCGATGAGAAGGAGAAGAAGAAGGCTGAGAAGATGGCCAAGATGAT